TTAATTATCGCTATCATATCTGGAGCCATAAATATGGCTCGCTTCCATATCTTGCACTTTCGCAGCCCCAAAGAATCTCAGAATTTATTCAGTCGCCTGTACATATCTGGGGAGCATTACCAATTCGATTACTTTGATCAGAGTTAATGAACCGGCGACCATAACGACGGAGCATATCGAATGGATCCGACTTGCCCAAAACGGCGAGCTGTTGCGAATGAACCCTAAGTGGAAAGCGTAGCGAGCTGCGTGCAATTAATTTACATTTGCCTAAATTATAAATTTAAATTGGGTTTACCTTTAAAGGTTCTTGTTGTTTGGCCAGACCGATGCGAGATTACTTTGTCACTTTGCTTATACAGACATTGAATGATGGATTGAAGATTGGACGATTGTCCGAAATGTGTACCCAGCAGAAATCCTAAACGTAATTAATTTTCAGCTTTTGTTGTGTCAAAGGATTTTCCTGATGTCCGCAAGTTCAAAGGACATCCACGCACACATATGCGTCTGCCATCTGATGCCTGCCGTTTTGCGTTGTAAATTTGCAAAATAAACGAAATTGATGTAGGAGCAACAATAAACAAGCGATGGCCGGCCATCATCAACCGGCATCCAGCCGTCTGAAATCCGAAGAAACCTAGAAAGGACCAGCAGCATGGGGCTTCCATTCCCTATCTGAAATCGGCAGGCAACCAGCAGGACGACAGACCTCCCATGATGCATGTCTCATATTGCACTGATTTATGGCCTGGTCAGTGGGCGGGGGGCGTGGCTGTGGGTGGTGGGTGGTGTGTGGGGTGGCAAATGGGATGGATGCCCCCACCAAAAGTGCAACACGAATACTGCATCTGCTGGTGGTTCAGACGTTATCCAACCCACAGAGGCGCACGACGAGCCATGCCACATATTTCCCAACTTTTCACAAATTGAATTTAAATAAAGGATAATTAAATTGTAAGCCTACCTGAATTTGAGTGACAAGGAATACCTTTTATCAGACCAAAGCCACAAATGGAGCGGTGACTGTCAACTGGGGGCAGAGTATATCCATTTGAAACATGAAAAAAAATCCATTTATTTTTCGTCGCCTATATATTTTAAGCTCTTCAGTTTCTAAGATATTTATTTTCCAACACAAAGTAGTACACGGCCCCAAGGCTAGCTGCGTATTCCCAATATTTAATCATCAAACCAAAAGGCACTGCCTTTAAAACTGTGTTACAGAGATTAGCGGATTGTAGGTGTAAACGTGGGCGTGGCACATTTCTTAAAATGTATTCGGTTGCGTACATTACTAGAATCGGCATGTTCAATCCCAATATTCTAGCCTTTATTGTTCCCGAGAAGTTCAAACAAACAGAAAGGCGGATGCGCCCCCAAGGCTGGTGGACGTAAAAGTGGGCGTACAATGTTGAAATTTTTAAAATACATTAAATGCCTTTGGCCATTGCCTCTGGCAAAAAAAATCTTAAGATTTTTTGCGTTTGACATCTTGGAATTCGTTCTGAGGGCCTTACACAAATTAATGGAACTACGCCTTTCTCAAAAAAATGAATTTCGAATGTGAAATGTGTCTGAAAGCTGTCATTTTGGACTTTTACCCGATTCTGGTCTTGTCACATCATGAAACCTGTGGAAAAGAAAAGAGAAAGGAGAGAGTGTGCGAGCAGGTCGGGGAGATACGTGCGAGTGAGAGGCCGGATTGTGAGCAGGGGCGAAATACGGTTGTGGAACTTCTTTCATTTAATTTCTGCAACAAAGTTTTCTGTGTGACTAACGAGACTGAAACTTTTTCGAAAATAAATTTGAAATTTAATTTCGCCAAAGCCTTTTAAAGTCCGTTGCCAAGCCAATCGGCAGACATACGATGGGTGGTGGTGGTGGGAGTTTGCTGAAACGGGGAAAACTTTTACACAATTTACTTTCATCAAAATTACATCAATCATAAATGCACTCATTCAGTCGCTGTCATGTCGCCATTCCATCAATCCCCATTTCTAGAGCTTCGTGCGGATGCTTTTGTGTGTTATTGCTCGAGTCTAGTTGCCATTTTTGTTGTAGTTGCTGCTGCTGCTGAGGCATCCTTTTAACAATTTCTAATTGAAATTGATTTAGAGTTATTTTTGCCTCTGACTTTTTTCCCTCTATTTGAGTTTGGTTTCGTGTGAGCGTGCTGTTTTTCGATGTGCGTGGCAAACTAATGGGTTACGTGATTTGAGGCTCTCTAATAATGGAAAAAAAAACAAAAATGTTAATGGGTTAAAGATGAAGCTTATAAGATTTTGTTTAAATATCTTATAACTTTTTCTTTAGGAACTGAGTGGCCTGATTTGAAAGCTTTAATAATATTTGATTAGATTTTCATGACTCTTGAAAACAGAAATGCTCTTTTTGTTCTTAATAAATTTTAAAAGCGATGGACCTACAAGCCATCCTAAAAAGCTTTAATTCGCAACAGCAGGATGTTTAGTTTAGCCTTGGGTCAGCTTAATTTTCCATTTGAGCGACTCGGATGATTGAAAAATCCATTAATTCGAATTACTTGCAGAAAAGCATTCTTAAAATTCTTGCCACATGTTGCCCGGCCATTTGTTCGGATGGGATGCTACGGACATAGTATAGATATATATACACAAGAATTAATGGTATACAAATATATATGCATCGCACTGTAGGTGCGGTCCAAGAAAACGAGTTTGCTACCCGCTTCCAGTTGCGTCAAGTCATTGCGATGCGATGGAAACATGGGGGTAGCAGCTGGTTTTTCGCCACATTTTTAATGGCCTGCTCTCTGGGCCAGTGCCGCGGGTCTTGGGCAACTCTAAGTGGGTTGCGCGCCACCGATCCGAGCCGCCGAACAGCACCCGAACCCAACCGATCCGAGCCCGAAGCGAGTCCGAACCGCGACGAGGGGCTGGCGGAGATTGGGAATGGCCCATGATGAATGGCTTTCAAGTGGGACGCAGCCTTCCGAGCACCCAGCCGCCTCCACGTCGGCACGCCCTGCGCCCCACTGCACTGGTTTACCACGCGTGGGTATATGGCATGCTCCTACTACAATGTATGCCAAAATAGTAGACGTGGGAGTTCCAAAATTACACGCGATACAACCTAATTCATTATATTATATAGTAAATACATTATCTGAACCTCTTGAAAGTGCCCAACTAATCTGCAACTTTTGCAAACTTTAAGTTATTGGTAAATATTACTTTTTTATTTTTAATGCCATTTTTAGGTTTCATATCCGGCATAAAGCTTAAAATTAAATACATTATACATTCAATAAATCATGTTACAAATTTAAATAAGACTTCTCCTTTTTTTACGTTGATTGAATTGGTTATTAAATTGCTCTATTAATATTAATTTGTTTTCTGTTGTTTATAACGGATCCTTTTGCTTTCGACTTATGAATAAAATTGATTAAATAAAAAAAATCCTTTTTGCCAGGTGTGGGGTTCGAACCCACGCTCTCTCACGAGAACCAGAGCTTAAATCTGGCGCCTTAGACCGCTCGGCCAACCTGGCTGTTAAATTCGTCGCATTCTAAGTAGAATACAAACAAGTTCAAATAAAAAACTTTAAAATATTTTAAACTGTATGTTTTCAAAATTTTATAAATTCAAGAATAGTCTTTGCTATTTTGAACCAAATTCTGTTAGAGAAATTTAGTTTTTGAACATACAACGCTAACCGCAACTGTACTTGTCCACAATATGGATGTTTCTCGCATGATTTATGGGCGCCCGCCGAGGCGTTTCGAAAGTGGCGAGATGAGTTGGCAGACGGGCTCTGGAGAAAAGTGAGGCGAAACTTTCTTTCGGACGGAAGATGGATCGCCGGATCGTCTCTAGCACTGGGATCCGTGTGCGAAAATAATGTGCAGTGCAGTTGCACCCTGCCAATCTTGCCCCTCCCGCCAGGCCAGTCAGTGCAATGTCCGGACTTGAGTCCGGATTTCGGGTCCTCCTCTGGCCTGTCAGGGCGCATTCATCAATGTCCATGGCGCTTCCGTCGGTGTATGTGTGCACTGTACTTTGTATTCGGTGGAGCTGCATGTAAAACACTCGCACACCAGTGCAACAATCTTTATCGAGCACAAACATAATCAATCAATTGGATTTATGTGTTCCAACTGAAGATAAAACTAATCAATCTTCGCTCAGCGACATTCAGAGACAGAGTTTGGGGACGCCTGGCTATGGAGAGCCATGGGGAAACGTTGGCCAGTGCCAGTTTTATGCTCCAGCATCAGGCACTATTTATTTATTCAGCCCCCCTCAAATTGGCTGCTATTAATTGTCAAGAAGTTGCGATGCTGCGACTGTGCGAGCTGATCTTGTTGGTCACTTGAGTCAAGTAAATGTAATTTCCGGTGACAAAGTTCAAGTGCAGATAGGCCTCTATACAGATAAGAGAATTGGCTTATATAAATCGTTTAATCTAATCTGTACAAACAGCATTAACATGTGCCACCTGATTAGAAAGGGTCATTTGATTTGATTAGAATTTTAATAGTAGCCATACTTAAGCAACTATCTATAAAGGAAATTAGGGTTTAAACTCGAAAATCCCATTGCTATACCAATAAATCATATAATAACATAAAAGTCACGGGATTATATTTAGGGTTTTAGCCTCATAAACCGCTCGCTTGTCTTATCTGAGTTAAAAAATATAAGATAAGATAAGCAGTGAAAGTGCTGTCCTTATACGACCCAGGCCTTATTTTATAGCATGATAAGTCTGCCATATTAATTATCCTGATTACCTTATCTGGAGATTTATTGTCGACTCATTTTAAGATTACTTGAACAAGGGGCTCTTGAAAAAATGGATGTGATATGTTGTTAAGGGCGCCCAAAATTTCCTCAAATGTTAAGAGATATGTGAAATGTGTTATTTAGCGCTGTAATACTTTATTTGTTAACTATCAGTTATTTAATTGTTATCAGTTAACTAATTAAAACTTCTGTTTTAATCTTTTATTCTAGTCGGAGTCAAACTCATCAGCATCGGCCAAATTCACCATGTTCAAGTGCGTCTACTGCGCCCAGCTGCTTGGATCCAATGACCGGCCCAAGCTGCTCGAGTGCCTCCATGTGGCCTGTGCCCAGTGCGTGAGCACTAAGTTCTCGGAGCTGGACCGCTCCCTTCCGCCGCTGATCCACTGCCCGGTGTGCGACAACGCCTCGACCAGCGAGTACATCGTGGACAACCAGTTCCTGATCGAGCAGTTCGCTGCCGGAGACAGTGGCGATGGACTCGGCAATTTGGCCGGCGAGGGTCAGAAGAGCTCGGCTGCGGCGAGCATCCAGTGCAGCAGTTGCTCCGATGGGGCGGTGGCCACATCGTGGTGCGTCGACTGCTCGGAGTACATCTGCGACAGTTGCGTGCAGGCCCACCAGCGCCTGAAGATAACCAAGGACCACACGATCAAGCCCAAGGATGAGGCCAACAACGAGCAGCTGGCCGGAGCTGCCGGGGTGGACAAGCTGCACATGTGCCAGCTGCATCCGCAGGAGAAGCTATCTCTGTTCTGCGAGACCTGCGATAAGCTCACGTGCCGCGATTGCCAGCTGAGTGACCATCGGGATCACAAGTACAAGTTCGCCCACGAAATCGCCACGGAATCGCGCCAGGCGCTGTCCACACTCGTCTCCGAGATCAACTACAAGCGGTTCCTCCTATCCTCGGCCACCAAGGTGATCGACGACCGCCAGCAGTTGATCCACGACAAAAAGAAGGACCTGATCAAGGAGATAACAGCGATGGCGGTGAAGATTACCAACACGGTGAATACCCGTGGCAAGCAGCTAATCATGCGACTCAACGAGGTGTGCGACAGCAAACTGAAGGTGCTGGTGGAGAAGAAGGAGACGCTGCAGCTGCTGTCCGACAACACGGACCACTGCATCGACTTTATGCAGAACGCCCTGGATAAGGGCAGCGACTTCGCCATCCTCTCGAGCAAGAAGTCGCTGGTGCGCCACCTGCAGAAGCTCAAGTGCCAGCGGGCGGACATCCCCAACCCGGAGATCCCGGTGCGCATCCAGGTGCAGCTCAACCAGGTCTCCGATCTGCAGAAGGTCATCTCGCAGCTGGGCATCATCATTGTGGACGGCAAGCCCTACCCGCCGACGCAATCGCCCAACGGCACGCCCCAGCCACAACATCCCCCGCGCCAGCAGCCCAGTCCGAACATGGCACCGCCCCTGCGACCGGGTCTTCCACCCGGAATGCCAGCCGGCCTCTCGCCGAATGGTCCGCCCGTCAACTTTGGACCACAGAACGGACCGCCGCTCTACAGCAACGCTGCCCAGCAGCAGTTCAACAATCTGTCCATGAGTCGCTCTTTTCCGGGCGACGGGTCAGGTAAGGGTATGGATGATTTTTATTTTGTATTTATCAGTTCGTACAATTATCAGAAGAGGGGATTTTGTATCTGCATTAAACATTGCATTTTAAGTTAGTTTTTGTTTTGAGATCTATTCGAAATAGCTTTTTTTACTGATTATATACTTTTATTTTCTGGTTTTTTAAAACATTTATTCAACAACTTTATTTTCTTGATTGGATAATAAAAGTTTTTGGATTGATGTAGTATAAGTTTCGCTTCTATAAAGTTCTGAAAAAAGTTCGAGTTTTTTTTCCATCCTAACTTTAATAAATAAATGAGTACATAATCATCTTCATTTTACAACTTCAAAATTAAGTTTTTACACAGAAGAATATTCCAGACTTTATTGAAGGTAGCCCATTTAGTTCTTTATTACTAAAATAAATCAGAACACACGGTTATTTAATGTTCAGTTCACCGGAGCCAGGTTTCCCTTGTTTTTTTTTATGATTAACTGATATATCAGCTGGTTGGAGGAGCAGGTCTGTTTTCCCAGAAAGCCGCTACCTCCTGCCGGGCAATTGCAGTTATAATTTTCCGCCCAGCTTTTTAATGGGTTTTCGTCTACATTGCAGTTCGCTTCGGGGGAATGCCGCCAGTGGGCATGCAACGACACGGACAGCCGCACGTGAGCTCCTCCACGCATCCGCAGAATATGGGTAAGTGCCGCAGGCAACGTTGTCTAAGTTACCAGATGGTGGAAGAAGGTGGAAAATTAATTCTCTGCTCTCGTGCGTTTTCAGACATCAGCCTGCGGGGCCTGCTGAACAACCAGGCGGCGCAGAGCCCCAACGCCCACATGGTATTCAATGGCCCGCCCAGCTATCCGGGCGGGCCGCAGGGAGCACCGGCGCCGGCCCACCAGCAGATGGGCCCCCAGATGCGGCCGCATTTCATGCCCGGCCAGCAGGGTTTCTCGCAGGGCGGTGGCTCCGGAGGCGGGCCACGGGACGGCAACTTCATGAGCAGCAATGCGCGCTTCCAATCGCAGTACCAGCGGATGGCCAACCACGCCCAGCAGGCGGCGGCGGCAGCGGCCATGGCAGGCGGTGGAGGCGGACAGATACCCTCGCCGGGTGCACTGCAGCGACCCCCGATGATGTCGAATCCCATGCAGAACGTCAGTGGAATGCAAAATGTAAGTCCTGAAACTTTGTTTCTTCGTGGTTAAAATGGAGTTCTGACATTCTGTTTACCTTCCACAGTCGTTGGGGTTTCCTGGGAGCCAGGCTGGCTTTAATGCCGGCCCACCGCAGACCTCCCCGCAGTTAGGAGGCGGCGGCATGCACAGCCTGGCCAAGTGGCACATCCCGCAATCCGCGCAACAGTCGAACAGTGAGTAATTGAAAATAAACCATGCACTTTATAATTTAGTTTAAAAATACGGCTACTACATAAAGATATAAGAGTTGTAAATTGTTGAATCAAACTAGTAGAAGGCAATTGTAGCTTTTAATCACTTCCATTAATGTCTTTAAATCCATGGCTAAGCGCCATAAATGTAGTCTTATTTTATTTAATGATACAATTGTTATAGAACATTGTAGAATAGTAAATGACTATGTATAGATCAATCTTATCTTTTTATCTAGTAAAACCCCCTGAAATTAATGAAATCGGGGATCACAGTTCAAACTAGCGGAATTCCAAGTATGAATACTGGTTTTCCGGGTAAACAAGTTTGATTCACACAAAATCTTATCGTGTACATATTATGGAAAATAATTGCCTTTGTTTTTGAAAATGACTTGCTCTAAAACGAAAAACCCACAATTACTGTAATCGTTTGTTAGTTTTGTACAAACTCATGACTCATTCACTATTGTGTCTCCGTATTCCAGTGTGTTCCCAGCAGGGTCCCCTTTTGCCTTTTGCGAATGGCCGCCAGACATCGGAAAATTTTAAAATCTCTCTGAAATCGCCAAACACGCTCAAGAACAGCACCCCGCCCAGCCTGGGGGGCGGTGGTGCGGGACATTCGGGCCACGGAAACGGCTCCTCCAGTGCCCAACTGAACGCAGCTGCCCTGGGATTGGGGCCAGCCGTTTCTATACTCTCAAACGTCACTTCGACGAATCCAAAGACGCCGAGTCCCAGCACTCATGAGGTGGGTTTAACAATTGCTGTTTAACATTCGCCACTTGCTAATGTGTTTTAATGTTTCCCAGAACACCAAGGACTTCACCGAACCCATTGATAAGGTGCGCGATGACTCGATCAACGATCTGATTGCCACCATAGCCAAGTTGGACTCGAATGGGGTGCAGGTGTTGCCGGAGGGTCGCACCAAGACCACCTCACCGCAGGTGCACAGCTCGACGGATCTGTCCAACACGCAGGAAGGTAAGTACTCCCGGAGCTGTCCGCTTCCGAGGGCTTCATGTGCTCCATGTGCGTGTGGCGTTGAAGTTGCCGAGTCTCATGCCCAAGTCATTTCTAAAGGGTTGAGGATGTCCTTTTGTTTAAGTCATTGAGTGGTTATGTGCTTGTTACCCGCTTAAGTTCCAACCATCAGCTGCTATAAACCGCTTTAGTTTTAAACTTTGGTGAAGGTTAAATACTACCCATCTGTGGTTGGGTTCGCTACGCTAAATTATTATCATTAGTTTTGCTCGCTGGCGTACCAAATAAAATTCTAAAATTCTCATAACTTTGCTCTCTTTATTTCTATTTTCAAACATTCCGAAAAAAATACTCGTTTTCCAAACAAAATCAAAAACGCGCAATAAACGAACGACACGTATAAATTACTAACAATTGAATCGATTCCAAACCAACACTCCAACATACTCAAACCAACTCGAATTAATCAACAACAATGCATACACGACACACCCACATGAACACACACCCGAACCATGAATGCGAACCCAAAACTAATCATATCAGTTAATAATAAAAACGAACAAAAAGATGATCCCAACGAGGACTGGTGCGCCGTTTGTCTGGACGGCGGCGAGCTGATGTGCTGCGACAAGTGTCCCAAGGTGTTCCACCAGAACTGCCACATCCCCGCGATCAGTTCGCTGCCCGACGAGAGCGAAAGCTGGCAGTGCCTCTTGTGCGTCAACCTTAAGGAACTGACCAAGGCGGAGGGCAGTGATAAGAGCTCCACCGGCGAGCTGAGCGCCCTGGAACTGCGCATCCTCCAGCGCATCTGCCTCGAGCTGTACTGCCAGTACGAACAGAGCCTCAATTTCCGGGAGCCGGAGTCGCCGGCCAACACTTCCTACTACGAGATTGTGTCCAGGTAAATTTCTGAACCCATACTTCATATATGCAAATACTTAACCTACCATTCCTGCAGTCCCATGTCGCTGGATGTGATCCGCACCCGCCTGGATCCCTCCAGTCCCAACCACTACAAGGACATTGCCGGGTTTGTGTCTGACGTGCGTTTGATTTTCTCCAACACCTACCTCTTTTATCAGGTGAGGGTTACTGACAAAGCATGCTTTAGTGCGATCCCTACTAATGCCCGAATTTTCGGCCAGGAGGACACGAAAACATATTCGAATGCCAAATACTTGGAGAACTTCTTCGAGGAGCAGCTGGCCAAGTGGCTGCCACAGTTCGAGGGAAGCAAGCAGCTGGGCAAAGGCAGCACATCCAACTCGCCGGCGCTGTTGGGCGTAAATGCGACTGGTACTCCGTCGCCCATTGAAAATGGACGGAAAAGCTGCGGCTCGGCTTCCTTGGGCGACAGCGACAGTGGCTGCTTGCCAGCGAAGAGGGCGCGACGTACGGGGCACGAATAGAACGAGCTGATGCCCGGCGGAAGGGGCACAAACGGGGAGCCGTCGGCGGAGACGGGGCAGCAGCGCCGCCAGGAGGAGCAACAGCCGGGTCAGCAGCAACTGTCTGGGGTCCTGGAGGAGTTCGACTTGGAGATGCCGCAGCGACCGCACAGCCTGGGCAGCAATGTTATCCAGGAGAGTGCCGACTATGTGCTTCAGCTTTTGCACGCATACGCCGCCGCCTTTGGACTGTAGACGCCGCAGAAGCTACATATCCGAATTTCCCTCTAATGTAGGCTTCATTGTACTTGGTGGGGGCGATCGACCCATAGGCTTCCTCAAAAACCTGGATCAAGTAGCAGCTAAAGCATATTTTAAACGCAACTGTAAATAGTAAATCAAGCAAGTCATTTGATATGATTTTATTTGTACGTACAATGGAGCAAATTGAACCCTTGGGCGATCGAGAATTGAAATGAGATATGTTTAGCTAAATTCTAAGTGTTGAATATCCGTAAACATTGATATAATTATAATATAACTATAACTATAAATATGTATACCTTTCTGTAGAGAAACAAGTAGAGATTAAAACTAGTTGTAAGTGTTCAGTTTCGAGTGAAATCGTCATCCTTATTTCACTGTTTAGTATTTGAGATAGACCCCGTTCTGACCCATCTCTGTTGGAATTGTATTTACTTTTGTGATAGCGAAAAACAATAAGATGAACAAATTACCCATTATTCATTAATATTATTAATACCATTAAATTAAAAGCTGTGCCGCAGTTATACATTTATTTCGAATTTGACATGTACGATATTTATTGACCGCTAACCATCCATCAGTAGGACCCGATAGGGACCCTCATGTGCAACCCAAGCCTCTGCTCATCCCAAGAACAGCATACATTCGTATACCATGTAAGAAGACACTTGAAATAAGTTAGCTGCATTCTAGACGTCTAAGTTCCGCAGTTGAATCAAACCCTTAAGTTACGGATAAGCAAAAAATTGATGTTGGATGTTGTACGTTTGACGTAGTAGCATACAGTAGGTGTAAGGAGTGAGTAGCTCTATTTATTAGCAATCGACTGGCGGGGATCGACTCCCGCGGTCGATGTACATACTGATCTATACATACTTCCGAAAAAGAATCACCCCTTCATATACATATAGATAACTTTAACCGAACGTGTGTGTAGTTTTATATGATGCCCGATTGAAACTAAAACAAAACCAAATCAGCTAAGGTCAATATTTTCATAGATATTTTCAATGCAAGACACCCAGAACAGATACGAACAGAATCCTCACTGGACAACTACAAAAGTATATTTAAACTAAATGATAAAACGGCTACTACTCCTAATGGCGCCACAATAGGTACGATAAGGGGGCGGAAGTATATTTATGAAATTAAATAGCCATGCATAAATGTTTGTACAACGTTCTCAAATGTGTGCTATCCTATCAAAAGTAAAAGCTAAGCAAAACAAAACTAGAGCGAGCAAAGGTAGATCATGCGTAGCATCTGCGAATGTTTGTATGTTATATGTGAAACTATGGAAATTATTTTATCTGTTTTAGCCGTAAGTTTTACGATAACTAAAGATTAACCACTGTATATGGATGTACTACTTACTATCGAGTGGAATATAAAACAATAAAAAACTTCATGTACTACGCTGAAATCATTTATATGGCAAAGAATCCGTCCTCCCGCAGATATTGCTCCTCGTTTTGGGGCTACAAGAGGAATCTCTCGTCGATCAGTGTCTTCCGGGAGACATTGCCTCGAACCCAATGGCGGAACACATGGCGAAGTAACTGAAATTTTGAGATTAGTTAACATTGCTTATTGATAGCATAGAGATTTCTTCCTACTATATTAAACACACAAGCCACAGCAGCAGCAATCAGCAAGTTCGAGGTCATCAGAAAAATCGAAAGCAGCAGGAGAAGTTCCAAAACAAATATGTGCAAATGGTTACCCAAAAGCAGGACACGGGAGAAGCTAAACGAATCGTCTATGTAGAAGGTACCTTTATCTGAGATTCGAAAGGAATTTGATAAACTAAAGTATGATTTCATTATTATTATTACTTACTCTCTGTAATATAGTTGTCGATTTCGCAATTTAGCATTTGCTCCACAAAGGACTTCTCCTTAATAATGTAGTCCATGTCTTTGATGGCCTAATATTTTATGGTTAACAAACCAATCGCATAACTTAAATATAAATGATTTTCTATTTTTATTACTTACATGATCAATAAAAGCGCAAAAGAAACGATTAACGCTGGCATAGGCGATGGAGGTGCGTTCCATTTGGCCATCGATGCTGGGAACGATGTCCTTCTGGTAAAGAAGGGTCTGCGAAAGGCTCCCAGTTAGGCTCCTTTGAAAGGGCAGCAACAAGCGCTCCAAGTAAATGCTGCATAAATAAATAATTTAATTATTATATGTCGCTCTGCAATTTAACAGCCAAAAAACTCACTGAAGATTCCTGGGAGGTAGAATAATATAGGCCTGCTTATCCGAATCCATAAGTAATCCGCGTCGTCCACACATCGTTTGGGTCCTCTGGAGCTGCAAAATCATCGAGGACATGTCCGTATCGGCAAATCCATGTGGGGATCGCCCATGAATATAGTATCCAAATCCTGGCTCTGTCAGCGAGAACAAGGAGATATTGGCCAAACTGCAGAGGTCGATAAACTTCTGGAGAGGATTGGTCACGAAGAGACTGTGCCCAATTATTTGCAGCAGATATGTAAGCAGATACACGGCGGCTATTAGACAGCAGCGCAATCCCAGATCTCCATGAGTAAACCGTTCCAGAAACTGGTAGCCAGCGATGACCACGAACACCTGACCCAATGAAGAGTACTTTTGGGTCACACTCAGGCGAATCCAGGCGTTGGCCGTGAACAGGACGCGCCAGGCCGAAACACTGCTCTCCGCCACGAAAGTCCGAACGCTGGAGCAGAGAGAGGAGCTGTCCAGATTCAGGCGCTGGCCCTCGCAGCTGCTCCGAGGCCGTTCCCAGTCGATGAGGAAGAGCTCCAGTTGGCTGGATCGCCACAGCTGAATGGCCAGGAATATCAGCTGCAGCAAGCAGGCGGGATACAGAAGGATCTTCAGAAGGCGCGGACTGGAGGCCTGCAACAGGAGGAGAAGCAGAGCGGTGGCCAGCAGAGCATAGGCCACATTCCCCGCCAGCTGCAGCAGAAACTCCATAAGGCTGCTCATCTGGCACAAATCGGCTTTTCTCCTTCTCCGAAGATTCTGGAGTCTGAAGATAGCTGCTGCGAAAGCGATCAGAAGAAGAAGGGGCAATGCCACCTCCAGGACCAACCACTCCCATCCACGTTTCACTTGCTCGTAACTGATCCTCAAACGGAATGGATACTTTTGGCTTAGAGTTGCATTTCCCGATTCCATCTCAATGTGGCGGTAGCGAAGACGAATGAGGGGTAGACCCACTCTATCCGGTTGATCCTGGTCCAGGGTGTAATGCAGTTCTATGTCCTCTGCATAACGTAATGAGTAATACATCTGTATCTTGTGGGCGTCCTCGTAGCGCGGCATTGTTTGGTGGAGGCGGTTATCCCGCGGTGAAGCCGAGATCAACTGGAACCGCTTTACCAATTGCCACTCCTCCGGTTGGGATCGCTGTAAATACAATATAGAAATGTTATAAAATAGATTATAAATTTGGAAGCCAATTATGTAGTTGAAATGCGAAGTAAACCAATCAAAATCTATTCTTATATTTTTCCCTATATGTTATATGCGACTCTCACCTGATTCTCCGGCGTAAGGGTTTCGATAAGAACTGGCAGCTGGTGGAGGAGAAACTGCCAGTTACTGCTGAAGTTCAAGTAAACCGATAGGAACTCGTCGTTGGCCTGCTGGTTGGCCAGGTCAATGAGTCGCTCCAGGGTGAGATGGCAGGAGACTTCCGCCTCCTTCTTGGGCAAAGCTAATCGCAGGCTTGGCGCCGGTTGCGGGCACAAGTTTAACATCTCCGAGTGAAAGGCACCCCATCTCTTAAGTCCACCGTCTAGACCGAAAGTGGTGCTAAATAGTTGAAGCTCCTTGCGATGCGCCAGCTGAAGAGTCTTCGATAGCAAATCCTTGGTAACCCGGCCCTTCTTGTAGAAGAGGAACGGCTGCAGGGAGCGTACTTGTTCGCCGGAGTGGGCGTACTTCATCACCACATCGGAGACCTGGGTGAGCAGGAAGGCACTGCAAGGTGAGTGCTTCTCCAGGGAAAAGTGGGAGAGCACGCAGAGATTGGCCAGCTGCTGGCAGGCGGTATCGTTCCGCAGGGTCAGACAGAAAAAGGCCACGAACTTTAGGTCACCGAAGTGACCAGGTGCACCCACATCCGGTCTGGAACTGGTGGTGGTGGACTGCCAGAAGGAGTTGTAGTGGAGATAAGGACGCAACAGGGTGCTGGCCAAGCAGAAGTCCTGGTAACGGAAATTGTGCACCGTGTCACAAGAGTGGCAATCGCCTGAGCTGCTCGACGGATTGGTCTTGGTCAGGATAATCCCGGAAATGAGTGGATGCACTGCCAACTGGCTGGCGAAGACCGATGTGGAGTTCAGATATCGATAGGTGCAGTAACTGGAGGGTCGAGGTTGTGGCAGCCACACTGAGGTGCAGTTGTCGCTCCTGTCCGGGGTGCAAATCTCATCGCAGGTCGGCCACGTCTTCCCTCGCTCATAGATCGATAAGTGACCAATTGGGCACTTGCACGAAAACTCTGAAAGAAGTAAAAATGTGTAACAGAACATAATGGCATAATTTAATATAAGTCATTGAAAAACTTCGTGTGGGGATTTAAGAATGGAGCTTAATATTTCTTTGTGTGAGTAAAATTTTTTCCAAGTTTCCGAAACCGAATTTTAAGTTACGGTGACTATTTAAGAAAGTTAACTAAACCTTAATGTTCATTTAGGTTCGTAAATATATTCATCATAGTTTTTTCAATAATTGTTTGTTTATTATTCCTTCCTGTTTATTCCTTTATAAACAAAAACTTTTAAAACTTTAAATATTATGACATGGTATTTGAAATATGTGATATGAAATCACAGCAATAATGTAATAAGTTTTAATAATCTTATTATAAGCAAAGAAATTTAGTTTACAGATACAAATTAAACTTAGAAATAAAACAAGTCTGTTAAAGAGGTCAATGACCCAAAACTAAATTCTCATTTTGAACCTAGCAGGTTCCCACAACTATGAATAAAAGTGCGAACAGAAAAACTCCATATATATATATATATATAAATCCTCATGGAGTTACAATCTCAATCTGAAGTGACCTAAAATCAGAAAGTCTTTCTGGTGGGGAAAAGCCATATTTTTCCTTGAGTGGCATGCAGTTTCTTGCCCCTTCGGTAGTCACTCCCCTTCTGGGTCTGTTTGATCAATAGTGGCACTCACTGTCGGGCTGCAGTTTTCCCAGACCGCCGTCTCCAGGTGCGACCTCGTTGCAGGGCACACAGTCGAAAAGGTTGAGGTTGTAGAACTCGTTCTTGAGGCACTGCGTCGGATTCTGGAAGCGGAAAGTGTGTGGGGTTGGCACCTGCGAGGGATTTGGCGTTGGATTGGCCATCGAGCAGTTAGCGATTTGAATAAGTAGGCCGATCCAAATGAAAGGTACACTCCAGTTGATGAACCGAAGGGAGCACATCATCCTGTTCTAATTTTTTGGAGCTGCTGCTTTATGCGATGCCACTGCGGTGAAATTCAAAAGGATACTAAGGACCCAACATCGATTGCAGCTGCAATTTAGAAGGCGCCGAGGAAGGCAAGTAAACAAGTAGACCCGTGGTGGGAGCAATGTTGCTATAGCTACCCAACCCCAAGACTTTTGCCGGGCACGCATGCAAAATGGCCATTATCCGGAGGGTTGGCTCAGGTGGTTCAACCCAAAGTCCTGGTCAGGTCTCCACAACCTCAAGTGTAATGGGTCGCCGAAACTTGTTACGCCTTGGAATATTGTGCGCCCCTCTGGGTTTCCTTATTTATTTCAGCACTTTGCGTGCTCAAAATTGTGATTGCCATCATTACTTTCTTAGCATTTTGCATACGATTTGTTGGTAAATATGGCAGAGGCTATTTTAGAAATTAAACTCTAAGCGTTGGAATTAACTTACCGACAAACCGTCGACCATCGTGAGGTCATTATTATAATTGTACTCATTTCAATGTTAAATATTTACCACAAGAAACGTCTAATTGGCTAAAATGCATTAATCTATTTATAGCAATTCTTCAGATCAGAGACCCAAGTAACGAAATCTTAGTAAATTTTTTTTTATAATAATAAGGCGAATTAGGAAATTATTTGCTCTATTTATTTACTTCATTGGTCGTGTTGTAAAAAAGCAAAGCATATTTTATTTGCCAAATGACCGTTACATTTGAATTTATTGCTGCCAAAGCTGTTTACGTTATTGTCTACAGTTTCCGATCGAAAAGGTACAGTTTCTTAAAACTCACATATAAGAGGTTAAAAATCAAATAAAACGAATGATTTTTAATAAATTTGATTTGACGAATTACCTAATGAATTTAAATTCCCAGTTTAAATTATGCAGTCCAATGAGCCGCTTGCCATGTTTTAGTAATTTTCGCGGTCGCCGCGACGGTCACACTGCTGGCCTCCCCCACTTCCTTGCAAGGACAACACAATTAGACGGCGGACACATACACTTTTTTCCCCCGATCTGTGGCCGCCAGCTAGCCCAGTCTCGTCCCCCAACCGACGGGCGAATCCCCAGAGCAGCCGTTGGCCGTTTGAAACCAGGATGCCTCGCAGGCGCCGCACTGATTAGAAAACCGTAGTTCCAGACGAAAATGAACAATTTGGTGAGTGGGCGGTGGCGGGGGGTTCCAGTTCTGGGTGTCTCCTGGCCCGATTGTGTGTATCAATCAGTCAATCGAACTGACAATTTACTGTTCAATCCTTGCAGGAGCACGCAAAGCACTTTTATCCTGACAACTACAAATTGGATCTGTCCGAGACCATGAAGGCGGCTCTGTCCAAAGGACCAGGAGGCGGTGGACCTGGCGGAGGGGGCGTGGCAGGCGGGGACCTGCTGCCCCAGCCAAATGCCGGGATGCCAGGAGTGGGCTATGTGACGGAGAAGCTTTACATGCTGCTGCAGCTATATCTGCAAAACAAAGGCTGGAATCCCAGTGCCGAGTTGCTGCAATGCTTTAGCGATCTTAAGGACAACGCCATGCTTCCCAGTGCTGCCTATTTGCAGTAAGTAGGGAGCAAAATATGATCAACTCCATTCATAACTCGCCATTCTCTTAGGGTCCTGGCCAATCGGCTAACTCTCGACTCCCAGGGACGCCTGATCCTGCGCGACAACGGCAAGATTGTGCTGCCCTTCGAACACTTTGCCAACGCGGTGATGCTGAAGCATATGTCGGGACCACACGGCCTGCACCTCAGTGTGGATGCAACGGTGAGGGCTGTCATTGAGTCGTACACCATAGGAAGGGATCAGTTCGGCATGGAGAAGGAGTTCATCATCGAGGTGGTGCAATCGTGCCCCAGTCCCGCCTGTCGCTACTATAAGAACCACATGGGTATCTCGCCCATGCCCTTTATGGAGCAGCAGTATCCTGGGGTCAACACCCCCGAGTTTCTGCAGCGTTTGTCACACCTGCCGCCCGGCGGAGCAGCTGGTGCCGGACCTGGAAGCTCGGCCGCCGGTTCCGCATCCAGTGTGGCCAGTAGCACCAGTTCGGCAAATGTGGAGATCGATCTGTCCAAGTCAACGGGTGCCAAGGTGCCGCAGGTACCAGTTCCACCGCAGTTGCAGCACTTGACCAAGCAGCAGCAGAGCAGCATCCAGACGCAGCTCTCCCAGATCAGCGCTGCCGCCGTCCACCACCAGCAGCAACAGCAGCAGCAACAACAACAGCAGCAACAACAGCAGCAGCAACAACAAGCAGCAGCCAAGCACCAGCAGCAACTTACTGCGGCCCTAATCCAGCAACAAAACCGTGTGCTCGCCCAGCAGAGTCTCGAGAAGCTTAGCAACCACCTGAGCCCGCTGGAAAAGCAGCGCGTATTCGCCCAGCTGGATCCCAAGCACTTCGATCCCATGGCCGTCGCAGCTGCAGCCGCCAATCTTCAGATCCAGGGATTGATGCAGTCGCAGGCAGTGGCCGCCGCCGTAGCTGCCAACCAGCAGCCACCGCCGGCCACCAGCACATCGGCAGCTGGAGGCTCTGCAGCCGGTCCGCAGACCCATCACGGCCACCATCCTTTGCCTCCGCCATCGCAGTCGCCACATTCGTCCTCTTCGTCTTCCTCTCACTCCTCGCTGGATCAGATTACCCACAAGAACGTGGCCGACTCCTTGCGGTAAGTGAAATTCCCATAATTAGAATAAAATTTGGTAGCAATTGAAATAATTAATAGCTCATTTTATTATTAATAACTTTTTTAAATTCATAAAAAATGTCAATTTAAAATTGGGTATATGCATGGTAAAAGATGAAAAGGGTCATTTTTATATATGTATACTCTTGCCTTTATTATAAAATTGGCTCAAACGAGATTAAAAAATATGTTCAGAAAGGTATTCACCTTTATTTGTATGTTGCATTATTTAATAAAAATGTTTGTGAAAATTGCTGAATTATTTTTACCTAATTACAATCAGATTTGACACTAATTTATTTTAATTATGTTCTTAAATTTTGGCCGATTTCAGCTCTAACCTGGACTCGATAGAGTCGAACAAGGATCTGCTGGCGCTGCACAATGGGGCCTGGGCCACCGGAGACGCCAATCGTATGGACCACTTGGCCGTGGGCCAGGACAAGATAGTGCGGATCTTCGCGGAGCTTATGCGAAACATGTCGCGGATGAAGACGTACATTCGTCCGTCTATGTGCAAGCCCTACGGGAAGCAGAGCGAAAGTCTGCAGAAGAGTGAGTAGCAAAACCGGTTCTGTGTACCAGCGATCTCAGATACTGACCGACTCCTCCTGCTTCCTGCTTCTCCTCCTTTGCAGCCCTCATGGACACCATTCAGATCGTGCAGACGCTGCGCAACTGCCTGCCCGCTCCCCACATACCAGTGTCCTCGTGGAAAAGCGAGAGCGAGGGCAACGTGGGATCAGGAGTGGGCGTGGGCGTTGGAGTGGGGGTTCCACCAGGACTTAACCTGAGTGCAGCCTTGGGTCTCCCATCGGGCAGAGTGGACAACATGCACTAGGCGTTCATCTAGCATCCAGCAATATCTCTAGATACACCCACTCTCACATTCTTCCATCAGTTCGAGAACAATTAGTATTTACACACTGAAACGCGCCTAGACTTTAGGCATAGCAGTTCACCCTCGTAGGCTTGGCTCCAGTTTTCCTTTTAGCAATTATGTGCCATGTTCAACGCAAGACTCGATTTAATTTCCACATTTGACTGACATTTAGGTATACATATGCATCGAATCCTGCGGTTGGATTCGTCTAATTTCATTCTCACCACTCTGGGTTTTCCTATTCGGCATACAAAATTAACAAGCAAAACGGAAAATTAGTTAAACAATTGGCAAAACGTCTGTGATATTTAAATTATGTTGGCAAAACGGAAAACAAAACTAAATTTAATTTACTATTTTGTGTGCCCTCTGTTGTGACATCTTACGATTTACTTTGTGCAATATCTAATAAGTATCTATTCTTAGCCATTCTCTTGCAATCGACGACTTCTCGCCCATATCAAAAGCAACTCGAATATAGCCTATACTTAAACTTACTGATAATCGACATGATAGACGCATAAGGTTTACATTATTTTTTGCATTACACCTTCAGATTTAATTGGAGGTAGGCCGCGACGGCAAACGAGAGATTACGAGTTGTGTTTAAATTTAAGAAGCTGAAGAAGGGTTGTATTCCATATGCAAAGGCTATTTAAATATATATTTTAACCCGCCCGAGCTCATCATTACCAGTAATTTGATAAACGAGCAAACAGTATTATATGCAATAAAAGACACTTGCAACCATAAGTATTTACCTAGCTGAAGTGTGGGAATTTATCGTAACATACCATATTATCGCTTAAAGTTTACCTTCAGAACTTAATAAAGTAAATAAATATTTTATTCTACGATAATAAAATGCTTTTTATTCTTAAGAGCCCCAAATGAAGAAAGTCAGGAATTAATTCCAGAACTGATAAGATAATTTAGTTTTAGCTGTTTCGGCTTGCTAAGCCCGTTATTATTTTCCTAATTTTGTGCAAAAACGAATTCAATTTTTAGAGTTACTTACGTGGATTACATTTAAATTGGTTAAAAGCTTAAATTTTGGTTTTAGGAATACCAAAAACAATACGAGTATTAATAACCGAAATCGAAGAAACTCCACTTCTCCAGTTTCATTTTTAAGTAGTTTTAATTGCAATTAATTTGCCGGACACCAAACTTACTGATTTAGGTAATATCGGCTCCAGTGACAATTAAATAAGCTGGTTTCCCAATTTTATGTTTAAACTATTTATCAACGAGCTCAAGAAAATATTGTTAAGAGCTGTAGTCGATATTGCAAACGAATTTTTTTAAATTTGCGAAATTTTTGAAAACCAACAACAGAAACTTAAAATTATTCTGAAGCGAAGTGTGACTCCCTTTTTTTTAACTTGTCCTGTTTGTAAATAGAAAAAGCCATATTTTTTCTTGAAACTATTTTGAAAATCTGACAAATATTTAAAATCTAAAGTAAAGTCTAATAAGAATCATAACTATTGTTACTGTGTGTTGCTGGCAAAAAAAAAAAAAAATAAATTAAAATCGTTTAGTTTATGTACAAAGGTTGAATCAGAACAGTTTTAAGAAAACTCTCCATTGCAAAAAAAATTTTTATTGATGAAATTTGATACATTTTTTTCACAATATCGTTAATTTTCCGACACTCCAGCTAACATTCGGCGGAGCCTTAAAATTCCGGCTAATTAGCTGGTTTGGAGATTTGGATTTTCCCAGTAATTTTGTCCAGTTCTTCGTAATAAAGAAAAACAAAAAAAGCATTACGTTACTTCGAAAAGAAGTTACAAGAAGCAACGTAGAATGTTTCTATTTCCGCTTGGAAGTCTCGTAACAACGGACTTCCACCAATGATTAACGGGTGGACGACCACGCTGTGGGATGGCTTTTTTAGGAATTTATTAATATAGTCTACTCGCTCCCATCGCCGTCCCGCTCGCTCCGCCTAAAAACCAAGCGCCCCGCACCGAGCTGCGTTTTTCGTTGATAATTTTTAAATTTATTTATTAGTTTATTGGTTGGAAACGGAACTGCCTCCAGACTGCCGCAGACCCCTCCCGGGCGCCCTCGGTCCACCGCCCCCCACTTTTGCAGACCATCGGCTATCGATGTGTCCGCCTGACGGTAATTGGAGAACGTTTTTTCCATTTTATCTCCACCTTGTCCGCACTTCGTTTTGTGCTCTCTTTGTGCGCTGCCCCCGCTCAACGTTTGGGCCTCAAAAAATAGAAAATCAAGTAGTCCCGCCGTGTGTGCCTGTGAAATCGGTTAAATACCGCCCAATGGGCCAGTGGCCAAAATGCAATAAGAATATGAGTGTGCAATAATAATCGAGAACTGTGCCCCAAAACATGAAAATGGTGCTAGACGCTCCTAACGCCGTGCCGAGCTGGCATATTTTGCTTAGCGACGCCGTCGGCGCCGTTTTTTCCGGCCGCGAACTCTACGCGAGGAATTTACAACAAAAACAATGAAATAAAAAATATGGTATTTAAATTGTGCATTGAAAACGATTCGGTTTGGAAATGCGAAGTAGCGCTAAATGTCGTCGATGCCAACAATTGTGTTTCTCTTTGAAGGCCCTGTCTAAATGACGTCACAAGCGTAACAGAGTGCAACAGACAACAATGACCGATGAGCATAAAAGTAACATTAACAGTAACAGCAGTAACAACTCCAGCAACAACAATAACAGCAATAACAACAACAACGCAGCAAGTAGTAGCAGCAGCAACAACAACGGCAACGAGAGCAACAGCAGCAGCAACAACACTAGTAGCATAATTGCAGAGGCGGCCGCCAAGTTTCTACTGAAAAATGGCCTGAACGGCAGCAGCAACAGTGGTTTTGCACCTCTGCCACCGCCCCTGCCCGCCAACACCAGCAGGACGACCACGCCCACGTCTACTGCAGCGCCTACGACCACGCCCACGACTTTATCCTGCAGCTCATCCACAACCTCAAATGGCTTTTTGCCGCATGTCAAGACGCCCAAAAGTAGTAGCATCATGGCTGCATCAGCTGCAGTGGCAGCCAGCCTCGTTGGAGCTACTGCATCCAAGCCCCCGACCATCGATGTTCTGGGCGGCGTCCTGGACTACAGTTCCTTGGGCGGAGCAGCCACTGGTACTCTGCCCACCACTGCAGCAGCAGCAGCGACAGCCGGATCAGTAAAGATCGGCAAGACCAGCAGCTCCGGCGGCAGTTTTGATATGGGCAGGACTCCAATATCGACGCAAGGCCACAGCAACAACACCTGGGGCGGCTGCGGCGGCCGTTTGCAGTTCTTTAAAGGCAAGTTCTATTCTAATTTCTAGCAATGTTAAAAACTAACGTTCAAAACTTTTTCGGGCAGATGGCAAATTTATATTGGAACTTGCACGATCCAAGGATGGCGACAAAAGCGGCTGGGTCTCGGTTACACGGAAGACCTTCCGCCCTCCATCGGCGGCCACCTCGGCCACTGTGACCCCAACGTCGGCGGTGACCACAGCGTATCCAAAGAATGAGAACTCCACATCGCTAAGCTGTACGTAACACAGGGAATGAATGTTTCTGCGGAAGGATACTTTTATAATTCCTATTGGAAACATAATTGAATTAGTGTACTTTTAGCCAGACCAATTTATCCTTTTTTTAGAACCAAAATGTGCTTCTGAGCTCAAATGGTTTAGAAGACACGTGTAGTATAAAGTCCGATTGCATACACATACAAGTTCAAACTGAAATTGTCTTTGTAGATATATTCAAAATCAACTAAATTTTGCAAAGCTTAAGTATTATTTTTCTCAGAAATGTCTTTCCATGTTTTTTTTTTATATATTTATCCTAAAATCCTTATTATTGCCAAATCAGTCCAGCAAAATGTGTTGTGTTGTCCTGCAAGCAAAAGTTATCCATCAATAATGTCCCCTTTTTTACAGTTTCGGATGACAACAGCTCGATACAATCTTCGCCCTGGCAGCGCGATCAGCCCTGGAAACAGTCCCGACCCCGCCGAGGAATATCCAAGGAGCTGTCGCTTTTCTATCACCGCCCGAGGAACAGTGCACTTGGACGGGCTGCACTGCAGACAGCTGCTCGCAAACGGCGACGACCCCATGAGCCGTTGACCAACAGCGAGGAGCAGCAGCCCATTTTCGAGACAGCTATCAAGGCGGAAAATGGCGACGATACTCTGAAGGAAGAAGTTGCAGAGACCGTTGAAGGTGGCGCTGAGGCGGAAACATCCGCTACTGAGATTAAAACTGAAAAATCGGAAACGATCAAAGGCGAGGAAGATACTGAAGGATGTGAAAAGGAGTCCAAGAAGGAGGTTACCGATAACAACGAGTTAAAAACAGGAGATCCTCCTCCAAAAGTGGATGCGGAACCGAAGAAAGAGACTGTGGAAAAAATGAACACGAGCGAGGATGAGGAAGCCCTGGCTGCACCGCCCACATCCATAAGTTCTGTGAACGGTGATCTTAACGGCGACCTCAAGGCGAGAGTCGGTAAACCAAAGCCGAAACCGCGGGCTAAGCTCAGTAGCATCATCCAGAAACTAATTGATGGGGTGCCAGCACGTCTGGAGCAAATGTCCAAGACACCAGCGGCAGCAAGCACAACGACTGCGGCGGCAGCAGAGCGGAGCGGAAGCGGAGCCATTGGCAGTCTGGGTCATTCCATGACGCACAAGGTAAGTTATCTGAGATTTAAATAGGCTAGTTTAACATTAAGAATCATATTTTGTCAATGATATTGAAGGAAATTGTTCCTATAAGAGCGAAATAGCGAACCTAAATGAAACATTGATTTTGTTTATATTTCCTTCAGGTTTCTCCGCCCTCGTCAGCATCAGCAGCCAGCCGTCTAGTCGAGTACCACCACCAGCATGTCTCGCCCAGAAAGCGGATACTGCGCGAGTTTGAGAAGGTATCGTTGGAGGACAACGGTTGCGCGAATAACGGCAGCGCTGGAGGAAGCAGCGGCGGAGCGGGCGGCAAGCGAAGCCGGGCAAAGGCTTCCTCCACCTCGTCTCCGGCGGGCAAGGCTTCGCCGATGAACCTGGCCCCTCCCCAGGGAAAGCCGAGTCCCAGTCCCAACTCCACCTCATCCAGTACTTCCCCAGCCGCGGTGTCCACGCAGCCAACGCGGCTAAACAGCTCCTACAGCATTCACTCTCTGCTAGGTGGGAGCAGTGGCAGCGGCAGCTCATCATCCTCGTCAGGCAAGAAGAGCGGCGACCATCCGGCGGCTATTATCAGCAATGTGCACCATCCGCACCACTCCCTGTACCAGCCCAGCTCATCGAGCTACCCACGCGCGCTGCTCGCCTCGCCCAAGTCTCCAGATGTGAGCGGCAGCAACGGAGGAGGTGGTAAGTCCCCGTCGCATGCTGGGACCAAGAAGCGTTCGCCACCGTACACTGCGGGCTCGCCTCTGCCCGTGGACTATGGGCACTCTTTCTACAGGGATCCCTATCCAGGAGCAGCTCGTCCTTCCACAGCAAGCTCGGCGTCACAGGATCTATCGCCGCCGCGCTCTTCGCCAGCCTCGCCCGCCACGACGCCGCGCACCGTGCCTAAAAAAACTGCATCCATTCGTCGTGAGTTCGCCTCACCGTCGGCCAGCAGCAGTAGCTGTCCATCGCCCGGCGACAGGAGTGCCTCACCTCCGGACCGGCGGCACATGCAGCAGCACTTGCAGCGCAGCTCGCCGCTGCACTACTATATGTATCCGCCACCGCCCCAGGTGAATGGCAACGGTTCGGGCGGCAGTCCGACATCGGCACCAGTGACATCGGGCAGCAGTGCAGCTGCAGCTGCGGCGGCAGCAGCGGCAGCGGCCGCCTACATTCCCTCGGTGGTGTCGCCCTCGCTCTACCATCCCTACATATCCACTCTGGCGGCGCTGAGGCATAATCCGCTGTGGATGCACCATTATCAGGCAGGAGCATCGCCCCTATTGCCGCCACATCCACAGGCCGGCAGTTCGGCGGCTGCCGCTGCTGCAGCAGCTGCTGCCGCTGCTAGATTATCGCCTCAATCGCCCTATCACGCGTTCGCGTACAACGGAGTGGGACCGGCCGCTGTGGCGGCTGCAGCTGCTGCCGCCGCCTTCGGACAGCCCGCCCCAAGTCCCCACACGCATCCGCACCTGGCCCATCCGCACCAGCATCAGCACCCGGCTGTACTGACCACCCACCACTCGCCCGCTCACCTGGCCACGCCAAAACTGACTGATAGTAGTACCGACCAAATGTCTGCAGCGTCCAGTCATCGCACCGCCTCCACTTCGCCGAGCAGCTCGAGCGCATCCGCCTCCTCCTCGGCGGCCACTTCCGGCGCCAGCTCCTCAGCAATGTTTCATACTAGTAGCCTAAGGAATGAACAAAGTTCAGGTGGGTACTAAGATCTAATTACCTGTACTAAGTTACTAAATAATGGACCGATTTAAGAGCAAGAAAAACAATATGAACGACTTTATTTTTCTCCCCCAGACTTACCACTGAATCTGTCAAAGCACTGAGACATACATACGCCCCAGCAGCCCCAGTTTCTGGGCCAACCATCGTGTTAAGTACATTATCGCACTAGTAGCGCTTAAGACGACATTCAACTACACGTAACACTATTTTATAGGTTCTCTGCTAGTTTAGTTATAACCTAATTGTTTTAGCCTAAGTCTAATTGTACGTTCTCAATTAGGGCCGAACATTTAAATAACAACAAAGAAAAGAGAAGAAAAACTAAGAGATAATAACTCAACTATGTTTTTAACCCGTTCCAGAACTTTTTATACAAACAGTTAAAAAATGGAATTTTCGACGAACATATTAAATATGCAAAGGAATTTTATTCTATGCCGACTAATGACAAGTAATACTAACAAAACTTTTTCTATAGGATGTATAAAATGCAAGTCTTGAAGAATCTCAAAAAAGAGTTACGTTTTTTCATCAAAACATTTCCTTGAAACAGACTGAACCTGATTTTTTAGAAAAAAAAAAGAAAAACTTAGTTACGGATCGCAGCATATAACTTTTAAAAGTATATTTAACTACAAGAACAGAATTTTATAAAAAGCGTGTGCCTTTCAAGATGAAAATAAAACTAGGGATACAAAAATTAATATGTAAACCAGAAAACAAATTTACTAGAAAAAAATATAAATATGCAAACTTTTACAGATATTCTGTGGTAAAACATTAGATATCGTCAATATCGAGGTCCAAAAAAGCAATCGACAGCAATTTGTATTAGGTAGATTGTATACAATTTTAAACGCCGGTTTCTCGAGTACCTCTCAACTTTTCTCAGACAAATAAGGTTCGTCCATGTGAAAAGTAACTCTAAGAAGTACACAGACTGCCAGGAACACAGCTGATTCAATGTGCATTTTGGTTCACAATTTATTGTTTCTTAAGTTAGTTAGGCACTTGTGAAACCGGACCTAATTGTTTGAGTAAAAATTTATATTAAGTTTTTGAATTGATTTTTATTTTGAATTTTAAATGAGTTCAAAAATGTATAAATTTAAAAATTGCAGTGATGCCTATAATTTACAGACTTTTAATGAGTTTTATAATGTACCCGAAACTCATTGTCAGTCTCTAAAAATTAATTTCCTAACAAAAAAATATTTTTAAAAATTTTAAATTTTAAGTTTATTTTGATTGAGTCTTTGAATGTACAACGTGACCAATATTCTAATTAAGTATAACTTTACCTGACGCAAATTTGCTGTCAATGCTGTCCAATGAAACCCAAATGAAAATGTACAAAAATTCACATATACAAAATATTTACAAAAATCGAAAGAGGATCCTTAACAGACAAATTCAAACCGGAATTCGTACAACTGAAACTGATACAAATAAAAAACATATTCCTAACGCAAAAAGACAAAAACAAAACGCGGTTTCTCATATTTTCTAAATTATTTATATAAATCAAATGACTATTTATATATACTGATACGTTAATGTGTAAGTAAATAGGTTTAATTGTAAATACAGTATTTTTACACAAAAACAAAGCAAACCGATACACGAGAAATAACCACTATATTTAATATAACTATTTTTATAACGGATTTTAACAAAATACTGTATATTTTGTATCTGATGACACAGAATAAAAACAAAAGGATTCCATTAAAGGTCAAGAAAAGTTTGCACAAGTCCGATTGAAATTTGCTTAGTCTTTTTCTGAAATTGTTAATAATATTCTTGCTGGTTATGAAAAATCAAAAAAGAATTTATAAAAAAAGCCAGCTAGAAGACTTTTAGGCAATTGCAATTGGGCGACCATTTTTAGTAAGCGTTATGAAAAAGATAACCTAAACGAATATAAACAAATTTCCATGAAAAATTCCATTCGGTTTTTACTACCTACTGATTAGTTAGCTAGGCTTTTAGGGACTATTATTTTATTTTAATTTTAAAACGGTACTGTGTACGACGTTTTTGTTTTTGGATCGTAGTGTTTATAATTTAAATAGTTGCTATCGTCGAACACATGTACTATGTGCATTGTCGAACAATGTGCGCAAACCCGAAAACAATGTTGGCAAAAAGTGAAATATAAAAAAGTAAGCAAAGGGTTTCAAAATACTTCATCTCTTGATGTCGAAATGTTTGTAAAGTAACGGAAACAAAATTAATATTAAAGAAATATATTTTATATAGGTATATATATTGAAACTGAATAATTGATGTCAATAAAAACTTATACTAAATGTATGTAAAGGCGCTTGTACCACCACAAATGTATCTGCTCGCTTTAGCTCAACATTCTTGAGAAGCTGCATTAGACTTACATAGCAACAATTGGTTTGTCCTCGCGCGCCCAGCACACTGTGGGGAAAATTGTGGCTGAGTAAATTAGGGTAAGAGTGGATCTGGAGGTTGGGCTATCGGCAGGAGCAAACAAGAAAACAGCGACACTCACATTCCCCAACAGTAGTTTGATCTCAGGCGTCTTTTCCAGTTGCAATGCCGCTTTCGAATTGATATCCTTCATCTATTGCGAGCTACTTAGAAATTGTGGTCCTTTCACCTCGGAACACATCTGATCCAAAGATCTATTCCCATAAATAAACAACTGGCATTGTTGGTACGTAAACGTAGAAGCACATTATGTATCTATATTTTCCTTTTCGTTTAAATTGTATACATTCGTTCGTTTATGTATTTAAGTTGTTTCATTTAATTGTAGTTGTCCAACGATTTACAAAATACATTACAAATATTAGAGAACTGATGTTAAAATGAAACCGGAAAACACAAAACTGCTGATTTGTTGCTGGCGACAGAAGCAGACATAAATTAATGTACACAATTAATCGCAATTTAGGGATAGAAAATCGTTGATTGTAAACTTATAGAGTTAATGACCTTAAATTAATATAGCATAATAGGATACAATTTTTGCACGTTCATGCGAGTGCGCATGTGTGGGGTGCTTAAACAACAATTGATTAAAAGACAACAAAGTCCAAGGGTCACTGAATGAGGGGCGATAAATGATTAGAATTACAAGAATAGGTGAACACGTAAATGTACAAAGTAACAGTAAAGTATATTGGAGCACTTGTGGATTATCATCTATGGGTGAGGGGTCTGTCTGTGTGGGGGGCTTATCTCGGCCTAACATAGTGAACACATAGTTTTGAACTTCATGAGTTGGATACAAAATTGTACTACGCCTGTTGCAGAGGCTCAGAAAGGCAGGCAGGAAAGAAAAGTGACGTGGTAAGTGGGGTTGTTTGTGGGCGCATGGTAGGTTGACTTCGATACGATCGTGTTGCCAAGTTCTTGATGTCGATGTAGTTGTCTGTTTACTGTTTGTTGTTTTTGGAGAAGTTGTGCGAGGCCCAATTAAGGGAAGTCTTCCAGGAGTTAACCAAAGCTTCGCTGAATTTCGCTTGGAAATGTTCGCGTGCTTTTTCTTCCGTATAATCCAGCACCTGAAACAGAATTCGAGAATGATATAGTGCAACACTCCTTTAAATTTGGCAATCTGCAGCTTACTAAAGTTTCACGTAGGTAGTTCAAGTCCTTTTCGGATGACAGTTCTGGCAGTCCCGTTGAAATCATCATTGAGAACAGCGATAAAATAAGGCAGCCGTGTTTACGTAAAACTAAAAAGGCCTGCAAGTGTATACAGTATTAGTATCTTGCCTAATGATGAATTTATAAATGAACTTACGCGCTCGCACAATTTCTGAAAGTGACAAAACTCTTTCGCCTCGCGGTCGGTGCAGCCCTTGTTGATCACATATACAAAATCATGGGTCAACACGAAGGGCACCCGCTCACGGCGCACCTTAAACTTTTCCTTGAAATGGCCCAAGATGTGCCCAAAGTCAATGTGGAAAAGCTGCAATAAAGATGCAAGATTAAAATAAGTTTCTTGGAAAAATCACCGGCAGGGTATTACTAACCTGTCCGTTTTTTTTGACCATTATATTGTCCGAGTGCCGATCGGCCACACCCAGCACATAGGTGGCCACACAGTAGCCAGCACAGCTGAGGGTGAACTCGTTGATGGCCTTGTTTAGCTTGTCGGCGGTCCTATTGTGCTCCTTGAGCCAACTGAGGAGGGACCCTTTTTTGAATGGTGACGTGGCCGAGAACATGCCCTTCTCTTTCTGAATGTTGGCAATAGTCTCTGCGTGCCGCACCACCTCGATCATGCCGAGGCGCTGGTCCATGCTTATGCAGTTGTAGATATTCATGCGGAAGTCCAATCTGGAGAAGAGTATGAAATCGATAATCGAAGACCTATACGTTTTTCATAGAGATTATTAGCTTACCCATCGTTTTTCCACAGCTTGTCCATCACTCTAAGCATCTGCAGCGTAAGCATGTCCTGGCGCAGATCATCTCCATTCTTAAAAATTATGTGCACATCACTGGAGTTAACGTCTGCGTTTTGAAATACCACCCACAGCGGGCGCATCTTGCTGTCCATCACCTTGCACCGGTCTGAAATAACCCCGCTGCACCGGAAGCTTGGGTTGAGTGGGTTCTGGATGTTCTGAAAGACCGCCGAGTTGCGCTGGTCCCTAAGAAAGTTTTGCAGCACGGCCTTCACCTTCTCCTTGCTGCTACCTCCGTGAATGGCAATCAGGGACCCCTGTTTCAATTTCTCCAGCACGTGCAGCTGCTTGCGGAGTGGCGCCACATGATGTTTGCAGCCCTTGAGGTATACCTCTAGTAGGAGTCCGAACCGAGTCTGGATGGACGGCGTCTGCATCTCTGAGCGCAGGTGCCAGAAGAAGTAGTGGCCAATGCGCTGGTTTCGCAGCGCTCGCTCCAAAAGAAACACTACCAAATCGCTCTCCAGATACGATTCGTGTTTGATAGCCTGGACCAGTTGCAGCAGGTACAACAGTAGGTCTTCGTCCCTAAGAAAAGAGGATTGCCTTAATAACATCTCAAGACGATCTTTAAAAATGATTAACACTTGCGATTGTTCTTGATTACTTTATTCTTAATTTTGTGAACAACCTTTTTATGGTTATTACTTACTTGAGGAGTTGTAAACACCGGATGGCAAATCGTCGTACGGCTGGGTCTGGATAGGCATAGTCCAGCAGCTCTAGGGAGCGTTCTATGGAAATAAGCGGCCACTGCTTAAGCAGGTACCATATGTCGGCAACATCGTCGCGCTCCTTCCAGTAGACGCAGTGAAGCAGTATGGAGAGCTCCTCTGGGACCTCGCGCATGATGTCGTTTCTGCAAACATCGAATATGAAATAACTTCAGGGACCAAAAGGACAAGGGTATATTTATTTTGTACCTGCGTTCCCAAATGGCATTGCGATCCTGATCAACCATTTCGTAGATCTTGTCCAGTCCCGTGTAATTGGCCAGTAAGTCTTTCAGTTCCTTAAGCGGTTTCTCCGGTTGCTGTTGCAGCAGATTCTCCTTTCGGGTGGCCTGCGCCCGATCCGCGGCGTACTGCAGCACCACCTCCTCGGAGGGGTAAACCACGTTTCCGGATCCGCTGTGGAATGTCAGCTCCACACGGGCGCACTCCTCCTTTCGCGGGTTGGGTTCAATAGTGCTCAACGGGTGGAACACCTCGACCGATTGGATGTCGTCCGCGTATGTCCACGTGTACAGCGTTTGGCGACCGGAGCGCAGGTTGTCCTTGTAGTCAAACAGCGTGGTGTTAACCCAGGCCAGCGGGTTCTTGTTGTAAGAGACATCCTTGAGAGCGGTGTCCTTGTTGTTAGACGACTTCTTCGAGCGCGACATCTTGGTCACCTCAAAGATCACAATGCAGAGGCGTGTCATTCGCGGCAGGTTGCGCATCTGTATGTCGAAGTCCATCGCCAGATCGTTGAACAGGAAAGTGTTTGAGTTGTTGTTCGGCGCATCCGCCGACCGCTGTGCGCACAGCTTCTGCTCACCGTGGAAAAGGCCCACATGGACGCCCACCTTGAAGGCACGCGTACGGTCGTAGTTCACGTTTGAGATGCTGTGCAGCGTCAGCTGGAAGTAGTTGCCCATGTCCCACAGCGACGAGGGCGTCTTGGGGAGCAGGGCAGGTTGCTTCTTCGGCGGTGGTCGTTTCGGCACCATCGCCTGCTCGTTGTGGTGATTGATGTACGACTCCAGTCGGTACACCAGCTGCAGCACCACATTGGGCACCGCCGTATCCGAGAGTGTTTCTTGGATATACAGGAACTGAATCAATGGATAGTCGCCGAGCAGGTACTCGTCGCGACCGCTCACCTTGAGTATATAGTCGGTGGCACGGTCATTCATCTTCATCTGCGATCGGTTCATCTTCTGCAGCGTGCTCTCCGTGAGGGTGAGGGGTGTGTCCTGTTCGTTCACGGACAGTGTGAAGGAGCTCTGGTCAAGCTCGTTCTTCACCACGATGAGAAAGGTCCGGGTTTGGTGGCGTTCCCGTATCAGTTCGGGCATCTTTGAGGAGTTCGCCAGGCGCAATGGGTGCTCGTACAGTAGGCGCTGCTGCCAAGTGTATACATTTCTCTCCATCTCGATGCTATCGGTTATCTGCATCATGCTCAACCGAAAGTCGTCGATCTCTGGCGTGCCCTGCGTCCTATGGTGGTCGAAAGACTGGCCGATCATCCCGCTGACCATCTTGGTCAACTCGTAGTCGCTGGAAATGCTGTTGGTGTCGGTGCGATCGCCGAGGACAAGGAGTCCAAAGTAGGGCTGTACCTCGGACAGTCGCTTCGTTTCGTCCGTGTACGGTTCGATGTTGAATGCGGAGATGCCGTACACTTGGTACTCGCAGGCCTCCTTGATCACATGACTCAGCGCCATCTTCTTGCCCTGGCTGACCATCTCCGCCTTGATCAGCTGGATGGTGGTGGCCGGGGTGACCCGCAGGCCCAGCGCGGATCCATTGGGCAGCATGCATATAAGATCTACCCAGTCCGGGGGCTCGTTCTTCCACAGATTGAATGAGAAGGGCATGTAGGGCAGGTCCAGGTCTTCCACCGGTGGCTCATACCTCATTTGGAGCTCGGCGTAGGCCAATTGCCGGTTGTCCATCATGGCGACGATTGTGTTTGAGGATCACCAGTTCCTTCTTCCTACTGGCAATTCCTTAGGGTTTCTTTGTAGTAAATCAGGCTAGACTTTTCCGCTTTGCATGCAATTTTTAGTGGGGCTCTCGCTCCTTTCGTTATCAAGAGACTGTTGTTTTCAAAGTTTTCCATTTAAATCAACTCGCCAATCGCGTTGTTGGTCATGCCGATCTCTGCGAATAATAAATCAGAAGGTGGCGCCGGGTTGCGCAAAATCGATTACCGATCTATTGTTTTGGTGTTTAATTACGGAAATTACTTCAAAATTCACCGCCCACAAGTTGATAAGAAGGTGCCCACTATTTTTCCACTCAAGATCTGTAGAGATCCCTCGTAAAAGTGAGTCGGTTTTATCCGCCTTTAACCAACCGGGATAATCCCATGAATTTAAATTAGAAAACGTTGCAAGAAACTGCCTCTAATCGTTGTTTCTTCTTAATTAAGGCAAAAACGCTGACTTTATATTTAGTATGAATCACACAGTCATAAGTTCGGGGGTGGGGTTGGAGGGGAGGGGTCAACTTGAAAACAAAAACAAGAATAAAGCACAGGCACACAAGGCGACTTTTTAATGCCCTAACTTGTTTTAAAAAGAGGAAAAGGACAGTATTTGTTGTTATTTTTGGGAATAATCAGACATATTTAAAAGGGTAGTTGATAACAGAAGGGATAAAAAAAACGCGTGGCCTTTTCAAAAACGTTTAAAAAGCAAAGGATCACGGTCTATCACCAAACAGGTGGAGTTCGAATCGCGGGAAGGGTATGCAAAAAGTTACGCGGCACCGATGTCTCATCTCTAAGTCGCGATGCCACAGAAAGGGAAATTGCATTTGGGCGATTAGGAAAGCAGTTAAAACACACAAATCCCGACTATTTTAACCGATTTTCACTGCCATTATGGCCTGGCCCGTTTGTTTTTGTTTTTCATCTCCATTTTGCCCTCGCCTTTATCGCGTTATTTTTCCCTTTTTTTGGGTGTGAGCTGCGCAGTTGCTCCCGCTTCTTACTTGTTTTCCCGCACCGGCACTCAGTTCTGGGCAAATTCGGACACTCCGCTACATTATTGTTTATTAAACGCACCGTTCCATCGGCTAACAATAAAGTTTGATTTTAATATATTTAATTATTTTTATTTGTATTGTTGAGTTACGTGCTGTTATGCGTCTGTTAACCGTCACAGGGTGACTGCAGCTGCCACAGGGTGTGCTATGCAGATGAGATCAAAATACAAATGCCATAAAAAATACCAGAAACAGTGACTGTCCACCGAAATAAAGGACATGCACCTATGACAACCTTAGAATGCCCTAACCGTTAGAGCCTAACGTGTTTTTAAAAAAAGTTAAAGGGCAGCATTTTGTCTTAATTTTGGGAAAGAAAGCAGTCGTATCACAATGGATAGTTATAATTAGAGATTGGATAGTTATGCACGAAAAAATGCCAAAATAAGCATGCAATATGCACGAAAAATAGCAAAATATGCTCAAGAAAAATGTGATGGAAAGACGATTCTTTTTTTCAAAACTAGAAAGACGATTCTTTTTTTCAAAACTAAAGTTTTGCACAGATCTACATTGAACTCAGACAAATTTGGTCCTGGTTTTGGTTTAAGATCCGATATTGACGATTGGCTTCCCTACTTTGTGTTTCAATGATGCAATAAGCTGCTTTACTTGGAATATTTTTTTCCTTGAACTGCACATTCACAATACGTACAAAATAAAACTGACCCATCAGACCGAAATACTTTGGGAATTTCGGCTTTCATACACAATATAAATTTAACGCGCGTTAAATGAGCCATCAATGTACCCAGTGTTGATTATTTGATGATAATAAACATCTTGAAAGCCAAGATGATTAATTCCACGCTTTGCTGTTTTTTGTTGTTATTCGTATCATAATGATTTTCATATGTCACAGCTAAACTATTATCAGTTTTTAGATGAATGAAATATTAAAATATGCTCTAACATGCACTTTCGATCAAAATATGCTCTAAGGAAAGAAATATGCACAATATGCATGCAACATGCATTTGCATGACTATCCGAGCTCTAGTTATAATGCTTTACAATTTCAAGTACACTTCAAAGGTAGGGGATCAAGTCCGATGTAAATCCATTAATAATTAAAAAAATATATATATTTTCCAAAGTAAGCTAGATTATTATTAAATATAATTTTTTTTTAAGATATTGTACAACTAATTATACTAGTACTCGTGGAGTATCAGGAGAGAGCTTTGTCAGCCCTGCGCCGAAGATAGTATGGCCAAATGTTGTATGCTTTTGGGCGCTCTCTTAAATTGTTGCGCGGGTTTTGTTATGGCGTAGGATTTAGCAAAATAATTTATTTTATGATTGTTTATGATTATAATTATTTCTATTATTGCCATTCGTGTAAATAAGCGCTTCATTTATGTTATAAAAAGCGAGAATTCGTATAACATTTTTTATTTGATCACAATCAAAAAGAGAAACTCAGGATCTAAAACATTGGAAAATTGGTCATGCCTTAATTTAAGCTGACTAATAGGTTATACTAAGTGAGCTTATCGTTATCTTAAACTTCCCGTTTTGCTTTGATTTTTATTTTAAGCAATTGATTTTGTAATCGAACCATTTGGAGGGTGTACTCGCTAGGTTGGAAGTATTCGCTTGGCTAGAAGGGTGAATCAGATGGGCTTAGAGTTGTTTTCTTTTTTAGTATCATTTGGTTTTTTGAAGCTTACGGTCAGCGGCCACACTTTTTGACAGTTTGGTCTTACTGGAAAAAGGTAAACAATGCAAAAATTTCGCAAAAAATAATTTATATAATTAAATAAGTTAAAAACAAGTGCAAAAATAGTCAATTGGTGCTAAAGTTGTTAATATATTATTGCGAAATAAGACGGCAATGATAAGTAAAAGGATCCTGTAAAACCCATATAACAAAGCAATGAGCGACTCTGACGAAGGTAAGAAAAAAAAACTAACTTATTTAGAAAATGTTCATAACTATTTCATAAGTCTACGCCCTTTTGAACTTTGTTAAAGTGCAAACGTTAATAAAACAGTAACATATGCAAATGACTTAAGTGGTGCAATTAAATCTCCAACTGGTTGTTATTGGTTTTTCAACAACACCATCGAGCACAGGGTGATTCCGGTTTAATTGGAGTGGGCGCGCAAAAGTGTTTATTTTGAATGGGGCCCACCTCCCGCAAAAGCAACTGGTGCGCTGCAACCACTGAGCCATTCGACACCCACGCGACTTAAAATGAAAACAAAACAAATGCCACGCATCCAATGCCAGTCCTTGACCACGTGCAACAGTTGCCATGCTTCTTCGCACTGGTCTTGCGCACTGCGTCAAAAATCCGGCCTGGATCAATGACCACAAAAACGTGTCCCAGGCAAGAACCATCGATTTTCCCCAGTTCAGTTTTCGCCAGCACCGCGTTCGGTTGTCTTCTTCTCCGATGCCAATTAATTTTTGGCCTGTGTAGCACCGTTTTGGGTTACATAATGTCTTGGAAATTCAGCATGGAACAGCCAAAGTCTGGCACCGAAACCGCTCTGGAAGCCTGCGATTACTTTGTGGATGAGGTCATTGATGCGTCCACCATACGGGGTGGGAATCGGAGCAAGCCCAAGGGTGTTGGCCCTATATTTCTAATAAGCTATACATTTCCTTTCGCAGATGCACGGGAGGAAGTGCGTCAGATCAAGCACGGTGAGCTACGAGCGGCTGTAAGCAGCGGAGATGAGCGGACAGTGCGGGTACTGCTTTCGGCCCTTGGTAGCGAGCGACAAATAATAGTCAATATGGCTCCTTCGGGAGCGAATACCCTGCTGTTCATGTGAGTAACTATTTATGTTTTTGAGATCATCTCAACTAAGGACGACTTCCTATTAGAGCCTGTCAGTCGGGTTACGAGAGCATCACCCAGCGACTGCTAGATGCTGGGGCTGATGGCCGCTCCCATGCAGTCACCAAGTATTCCCCTTTGTACGCCGCCGTCCACAGCGGTCATTTGGGCATCGCCCGGCTGATGCTAGACCGCTTTCCAGAACTGATTCAACAACCGACTGTCGAGCGCTGGTTACCGCTCCACGCGGCCTGTATCAATGGACACATCAAACTGCTGGAGCTGCTCATCGGCTACAGCTACCCGGACTACCTCTACCAGACATATCGCGACGAGGAGGGCCAGTGGGAATGGCGGTTGCCCTTTGATGCCAACGCCCACGATGTAACGGGTCAGACCAGTCTGTATATAGCCAGCATACTGGGTAATAAGCAGCTGGTTGGAGTCCTTCTCAAGTGGCAGCTGCACTGCCGACGCACTCTGGGAGATTCCGCCAGCTCAGCAAGCACTCCCATCACGCCCACCAGAAAACGCATTTCGTTTGGCATTCAGGCCATCATGTCTAAGCTGCACATATCTGGTGAGTCCGAAGGCCCGGAGGACCAGGCTGCCCAGGAGTCCACAGAATGCCAGCGGTGTCCCATCAACGTTAATCTGCTCTGTGGAGCAGCGAGGGAAACAGCTTTGCTGGCTGCGGTGCGAGGTGGCCATTTGGACGTCGTGCAGGCGCTGCTGCAGCATGGCGCAAATCCGAATATCGTGGCTAAGCCTGTGGAGGATCACAACGACCCCAAGTGCTGCGAAGAGATCTACGGACTTAGCAATGTGCCCATTGCAGAGGCCTGCAAGCAAAGGTCTCTGGCCATGTTGGATCTTCTGCTGAAGCATGGCGCACGCGATGATAATGGCTCAGCCATCGGATTGGCAATTACTGGCGGCGACGAGGCCATCCTAAGCCGCCTTTTGGCACGACGTGTTCATCCGGATTCGGACTACAAGATCAACAAGAAGGGCCTGCCCACACCGGTGGAAGTGAACGTGTTTTTGCCGTCCACTAGCAACATATCCTACAGCGCCATGTTCCCCAACGTACCCACTATTATTGACTGGCATAGCTTGGGCTCCAGCGTCCAGTTATCTGTGGTGAGGGTTCCTTGGATGGTCAGCGGAGTACTGCTGCTGAATCCGAAATTACAGTCGCACCCGAAACTCAATGAGGTTGCTCTGACCGCTATCACACGGATTGACTTCTCGCACAACGTTCTAACAACTATTCCGCAGGAGTTGTTCAATTTGGTTAGCCTAAAGTAAGTGAGATCAACAAATCAAAGAACATACATAAAAACATACTTCATCTTTTAGGTATTTAAATGTGGCCCAAAACAAAATCACCGATCTGCCTGCGCCGACAGGCAAGGCATACGCCTGTCTTGTTCTCGACGAGCTTTTTCTGCAGGACAACCAGTTAACAACTTTGCCGGCTGCTATCTTTCACCTTCCCGCTCTTTCTATTCTGGATGTTTCGAATAACAAGCTGCAACAGCTTCCTTTTGACCTGTGGCGTGCTCCTAAGCTGCGCGAACTCAACGTGGCCTTCAACCTATTGCGAGACCTCCCTGTGCCGCCGATGCAAACGAGCAGCTCCCTGCTCAGTCTGGACAAGCTGCAGTTGCAAGCCTTTGAGGAGCCGGCGTCGAACAAACCGCGACATGTCACCCAGCAGCGCCTTACCCATCGCAATTTATGGTCCTCTTCACTGGAGATAACCGACAACGATATGAAGTGGCAGCACGATCAGGATTTAGGGGATGGAAAGACACCTGGCATGGGCTCTTCCCAGCTAAGCAGCTTGAACATAGCGAACAACCTGTTCAACAGTATTCCCGCTGCTTTGCCCTGCCTGGCAGTTAACTTAACCCGACTGAATATGTCGTACAACAGTCTACGTTCCATGGGACATGTAACAAGCTATCCAGCCACGCTGAAGCAGCTGGACTTAAGTCACAACGAGATCTCCTGCTGGCCAAGCTTGCCTCGGATTACCGAATCGGACCCACATCTACTGTGCTACAGTTGTGTTCAGCTGCCAGAAGGTCGCGAGGAGGAGCAAGCGTACAAGACAACATCCTCGAAGGGCAGTAGCTCCTCAGCCACTTCTTTCCGCGCCTCAGTGCTAAAGAGCGTGTGTCGGCACAGACGTCATTTACGACTGGAAGCGCTCCGAACTTTGATCCTCGCGGACAACCTGCTTACCCGCATTCAGTTGTCGACCGACGACGCCACGACGCTATTTAACGAGAGCGAGGACGCCGACTGGAGTGTGGTGGGCGTAAACCGTTCTAAGGTCATATTCCCCAACCTGTCCATGCTGGATATGACTAACAACTGCCTGAAGGAGATCCCTCCCTCGTTGCACGAGCTTAGCAGTCTGTCAGTGTTAAACATAAGTGGTAACGTTAACATCACAGAGCTACCGCCGCACTTGGGACTCCTCTCGCGTCTTTGGAATCTCAACACGCGAGGTTGCCTTCTACAGGAGCCTCTGCGTTCCATGATCGAGAGCAAAAAGCATAAGACCATGGACATTGTTGGATATCTAAAGTCTATCTACGAAGATGCTCAGCCTTATGCGCGGATGAAGTTGATGGTGGTCGGTGTGGCTGGGATAGGCAAGAGCACTCTGCTTGATTTGCTGCGCCAAGGAGCGGGTTCGGGATCCAGCTCTAGTTCGCATCGATCTCGAGCCAGCGAGAATCACTGGGCCAAGCGGATGGGACACGCTCGCAGCACCTCTCGATCGCACCGTCATTCATCCGCCTCCAGTGCAAACATATCCACAGTTGGTGTGGACATAGGAACCTGGATTTGTGAAAAGCGAAAACGAGCGCCCGGCTCCCACGGACCGGTTGTCTTTCGCACTTGGGATTTTGGTGGCCAGAAGGAGTACTATGCAACCCACCAGTACTTCTTGTCAAAGCGGAGTCTGTACTTGGTGCTGTGGCGCATTAGCGATGGCCACAAGGGTCTGGCTGAGCTGCTGCAGTGGCTGGGCAACATTCAAGCAAGGGCTCCCAACTCACCAGTAATCATTGTTGGCACTCACTTTGATGCGGTCGGGGAATCCATATCTCCGCAGCAGGCGGAGCAGCTGCAGCAACTTATTCGAGAGAAGTTTATCGCAATTCCTGACGCGGAAAAAATTGGACTGCCTCGGGTTATCGATTCCATTGAGATAAGTTGTCGGTAAGTGCCTTCCTATTGCAAAAACAAATTTCAAAATATAAAAGACTTCTTATATTAATCTTAGAACACTGCATAACATCCACCTGTTGGCCAACATCATTTATGACACAGCCATGCAACTGCGGTCTCCCGGTTCCAAAGAGCCCATGCTGCTGCAAAAGATCCCGGCCAGTTACATTGCCTTGGAGGACATTGTAAATGTGATTGCCTGCAATCTGCGCGCGGCTGGTCGAGATCCTGTTCTGGACGGCGAGCAATACAGACGCTTGGTCGCCGAGCAAATGCGTCTCCATAACTACAAGAGCTTTCGGGATGCCGCTGAGCTGCAGCAAGCTACCACTTGGTGTCACGAAAATGGAGTTTTGCTCCACTACGATGATGCCACACTCAGGGACTACTACTTCCTCGATCCGCAGTGGTTGTGCGACATGCTGGCCCACGTGGTCACCGTGCGGGAGATTAACCCATTTGCTCCCACAGGCGTGATGAAGTTGGACGATCTTCAGCTGCTCTTTCGCAGTGTTCAGGTTCAAGGCAACGCAAACCGGAGGTGGGTTTTATCATGATCTTTGCCAAGTCTGTATATAAAATTAATCAATTTAATTTGAATTCTAGCTATATTGTCAGCTTGTTAAATAAGTTCGAGGTGGCTTTAACTTGGGACTCCAGGACTCTTTTGATTCCATCTCTGTTGCCATCGCAGGAGGCTGCTACACCGAATTCGGGGAGCACAGTGAAGCTCTCTCAACGTTCCCGTGGTCGCAGCTTGGGTTGCTCCGTCTCGCAGGAGGTCAACCTCAACAATCTGATCTATGAGCAGAAGTTAGCTGGTTCTTCAGCATCTGCTTCGGGAACAACTAGTCAGGGATTGCGGCGCATTCTGCTGATGACCTACTTTCCGTCCGGATTCTGGTCAAGATTACTCACTCGGATTTTGGCAGACGAACAGATCATCGAGGCTATTCGTGGCGTCTATGTGGCTTCAAAAGATGTAAGTTAATCCGCATTCCCGCTATTTTATAATTTTAAAGCTTTACTTTATAGAAGTATGTGGACTTTGATTTGCGCACTTCGTTGGAGCAGGACACCCAGTGGAATCTATGGCAGACGGGCTTAGCCTTGTACTACGGACCTATCTTGATATTCAAGATCTGGGAAGTACCCTTTCAAAACACAGAGCGTACGCAACCTTTCCGCACAAATGGCAACCGCTTTAAGCTGAAATTGGACGGTATCTGGAGCGATTTAAATCTGTGTTCCTCTAGCATCCTCGAGGTTTACTTTCCGCTTCATGAAGTAAGCATATCGCAGGAAGTGGATAACCGGGAACGTCAGTTGCTGGCGGAGCTTCAGCCGCACATGTCCCAGGTGGCCAAGCTGTTGGCACTGGCAGTCGATCACATTGACTTGCTGCTCGAAGACTGGTATCCCTCGTTGGGAACTCGGTTCGTGCACACTTCGGAGGGTCGTTTCCTAATCACCCGTTTGGTGTTGTGTCCACGCTGTCTCTGGAAGCTGCAGCTGCAGCACAGTAACGAGCCCGCGGATCGGGAGCCTCCTCCAATGGGATGCAATAGACCCAGCCGAAGTAGCAAACGGGGAGCATACTTCCTGCACGGCGTCGGTGATCCCGGTGAGGATGGCGCCTTGAACGTGTTCTCAGCCTATCTGAACGCCACCGCGAGGAGGGAACGAAGATCGGAGGACTCATTGGGCGCTGGCTCTGATGCCGATTCGGGAGTGGGTCCCGATTCCGCCGGTTCCTCACGCAACACTTCGGTGGACGGACACCCGGGCTACCACCTGCCCGATAACTCGAATGTTTGCTATGCTTGGATGATTGAGGAGTGCATCTTATCTGTCTACAATCAAAGCAAGATCAGTTGCCCCGTTCATCTGGAACAGTCGATGGCTCAGCTAGCCCCGGATGTCATATTCGCCGATATACCGGACAAGCACACCATTCCTTCCGAGTGCATCATCAAGGGATCGCTGCTTGGTCGAGGAGCCTTCGGATTCGTCTTTAAAGCTAACTGCAAGATACGGGGTGCCAGATCCTTTAAACCGGTGGCAATGAAAATGCTCCAACCAGTTCCTCCCGGTGCACGGGCCAAGGAGGTAAGTGCTAGAAATCGATTCCCTTCATATATTTTATTAAAATTCTATTTGCCTTCCGTTTCAGAGCGCTTTGATTGCCTTCAAAGTGGCTGTGGGCAAGTGGGACCGGGATCCTTTACAGCACTCCTGCAAGGCCTACTGCACGGCTCGACAGGAATTGGCCGTACTCCTCACCCTGAAGCATCCCAACATTGTGCCCTTGGTGGGAATCTGTATAAAACCATTGGCGCTGGTCCTGGAACTAGCTCCTTTGGGCGGCTTGGACGCTTTGCTTCGACAATACCGGCGCAGTGGGGCTCACATGGGCCCGCATACGTTTCAGACGCTCGTACTTCAGGCAGCAAGGGCTATTGAGTATTTGCACCGCAGGAGAATTATTTACCGCGATCTTAAATCGGAAAATGTACTAGTCTGGGAGTTGCCGCAGCCCCACACCGAGGACAGTCCCCGGAACCACGTGCATATAAAGATTGCCGACTACGGAATCAGCAGGCAGACAGCTCCCAGCGGAGCAAAGGGATTTGGCGGCACCGAAGGCTTCATGGCACCCGAGATCATACGCTACAACGGAGAGGAGGAGTATACTGAAAAGGTCGGTCAATAAACTACTTTCGAGTTTACTAACTAATTTTGGAATGACTTATTTGATTGCAGGTGGACTGTTTCTCATTTGGCATGTTTATATACGAGAACATCAGCTTACGACAACCTTTTGAAGGCCACGAATCCATTAAAGAGTGCATCTTGGAGGGCAGTCGACCGGCGCTGACACAGAGGGAGACCCAGTTTCCCACTTGTTGTTTGGATTTAATGGTTCTCTGTTGGCACGAGCAGCCACGCCGCAGACCCACTGCGAGTCAGATTGTTTCCATACTCAGTGCCCCGGAGTGCATCCACCTGTTGGATGTGGTGGCCATGCCGCATAGCGAGAAGATTGTATGTGGAGTCTTTCAGTCTCTGGTCGGTGGTGGCGATGACGAACGATCTGGCATAGAACTGTGGCTTCCCTCCTTTGGCTCCCGCATCGACATCTTGGACTGCACTTCCTCGGGCAGCCTGCTGCAGTGTAACAGTATCAGTTGCTCACCGCAACCTCAGGTGGCGCCACCCAAGACTCCAGAAAACGGTGCCCACTCACGTGCCCGTTCTGCTCAACGCTCGCCCAAGATGAACATGCTGTGCTGCTGCCTGGTGGGCGACGCCATCTGGATGGGCGATGTTTCTGGCAACCTGCACGCTTACAGTACCTCCAGCTACGCCCACTTATTTTCGTACATGCTCGATCCGGCCATTAAGTCAGCGGTAATCAGTCTAGTCCACATGGAGGGCATAGCTCGCGTGGCCGTGGGCACGCATAACGGTCGGGTGTTCCTGGTGGATGCCACTCAAGTGCCCAGCAACTGCGCCTTTGCCGAGGGCTCTTTTGTGCTCACGGAGATCTGTTCTGGCTTTGTATTGCACGCTGCATGCTCAGTTTTTGTGGATGGGTAAGTTTACTAGTTATAGCACTGGACAAAACTGATTTGCGCTTCTTCTAGAAACTACGAGCTTTGGTGTGGTGAAATCGCCGGAAAGATAAATGTGTTCCCTTTGAACGAGACCGGAGTGTCTGGACACCAGGCTCTGTGCCACAGTGAGGAGCCCAATTTAATCGAAGACGTCAAGGTGGCCCGCATGTGCAGCAACGATAGCCACGTTTTTAGTTGCCTATATCCCGGATGTATGGTGTACCAGTGGGGTGTGTTATCCAAAAGGATTGAGAACAAGCTGGACTGTTCCAAGCTGCTACCCTGCTCCGAATCCCTTCAGAGCATCGCGATAGATGAGCACGTGAATCTGATAAAGTGCCAGATTTCAGCACTGGCGGCTCACAACACGGAGCTGTATATTGGAACCACCTGGGGATGCCTGATCGTGGCTGAGCTGCATACCCTGCGCCCCATTAGCGTATTTCGACCCTATGAAAATGAGGTGCATACGTAAAAATTCTCTAACTTTTTATCAACGCTAATTTTGTCCTTGTTTCTCCTACAGATAAAATCCATTATAACGCTTTCCAATGAGAAGGTGCCACTGATCGCCACGATCGGAAGACGGTATCGCTCGCTGATCTCACGCTACGTAGAGTCCGCGGAGTCATCATCTATAGGCTCTGCCGTCAGCACTCCCACTCATGGTGTATCCAAATCCGTTCCACCGGCAGATGTGGACAATCACATACATTGCCTGCTTTGGCGAGCCAAGCATTGGACATAATTCGATCTCATTCCAAGTATTTGTTGACGTATTTATTAATCCACTACCAATAACATAAAATTGTTAAAAATGGGAAAGCAATGAGGAATAGTAGATTATTTCCTAGATTTTGTTTGGGTTAATTTCTTTGTAATATTTGTGCTCTTACAAAATTATGGTTTCTTGGCAAGTAATTGGTGCAATATAACTAATACTGACGCTATATCTCATTCGTACGAGCTGCAACTTTTTGCAGTGGCACATAAAAACGATTTTAAACACATTAAATGAGCTACCTTAACGAAAATTCTGCTTAAGAAACAAATATTTTGTTAAAGAAGGTAATGTTTCTATGCTCATAAAATGTATTTTCAAAGTTCAGGAATTTACTTGGTTCTATTTGTGCAAATAATACAAAATATTTGAGAAGATTATATATATTTTTTTAATTATACCTTTAGTATAGCCTTTAAAGATCAAAAGACAGAATTGGCAGCATATTTAGACAGTCTTAAAGTTTAGTTTTCGCTTAATTCTTCAGAAACAATATATTTTTATAAAAAAAAATAATTGACAGTAACATTCCGTCTCGCTTTTGGCAACCTTAAAATACGATCAAAATAAAATGTTTTTCACATTAAATTTATTTTTATTTACAAAAAAAAAACACTTTACATTCCGCATTTAGCTCAGTTTAAGAAATAATAAAATAAAACCTAAAATAAAAACCCAAAAAATTTAAAAATAAGTTTTGTTTGAAATTTTGGCTTATGGTTTTCAAATATTATAATAAATAAGTTGAAATTTCCAGATGATCATCAATACGAAAAACCGAAAATGAAAAAAAGTTCTTCAATTTTTATGATTTAGTTTCCAAAGAATTACAGGTTTCAAAACAATTTCTTCTATTGGGACTCCTGTGCCACCGAAGCTACTGACATAGAAGACTGACGACTGCGTGAGTAGATGGAGGCCGAGTTTTTGAGCACTCGAATATAGTTGTTAAAGTCGATGACGAACTGGAATTCCTCCTTAAGAGCGTCGCGCAGTGGAACCTGTAAGCATATAGTTAGTAATTTCTTTGTCTTTCAGAATTGTTGAACTCACTCTATAGTGGAAAGCCTTCTTCTTAACAAACATGAACCAGCTAATAATGCCGTACAACATGGCAAATAAACTTCCGCCAAGAAGCACATAGAACACGCCCTGCAAATTTTTCATGCCCAATTCCGTGGCATCCGGGGACTCCTCTTTGGTGGAGCAAATTCCTGTGCCGACCTCGTTCCACCACTTATTCTTCATCTTCTCAAGGACTCCCTGCTCCTGTAGCTCCAGTAGCGCGCTGTTAAACACTCCGCGATGCGGCGAATCTGACGGGAAATCACTTTATTATTTAAATTTAAACCATTGGAAATGGAAAACTTACTCTTTTTCATGGCTATTCCGTATCCCTTCTCGTCCAAGGCATCGCCAATCTTTTTGAGATTGCATTCTCGTTTGGTGTTGTACTCAATGGAAGTAGATTCCATCAGGAATGCATAGTTACCTTCGGTCTTCACCCTTCTAACTCCCTCCTGGTTGTCATTCGTAAGGTACTGTGGGTTTTCGAGCATGAATTTGTTCATCATCTTGTAGTTTGAATCCTCAGAATTCTATAAAACATATTTATTTATATTAATTAGTTTTAAATGCATGCGTTGATCATACTAGGAAGAAATTTCTTGTGGATCCGGTTCTTTTTGCACCGTAGACCACGCCATCCTTGTTGGTTGCCAAATCTTCAACGCTGTTGATGGAACTCTGCGGCTTTTCGATGGTCAAGAAGGCAGCCAAGTTTGCTGTGTAAGAGGACACCACAATTAAAGTAAAGAACCACCAGAAACTGGCTACAGTTCGAGTGGATAAGGCTCTGAAAATAATATTAATAAAGTGAAAACATTCAAGCCCAATTGTTCTTCGTACTTGGGTCCAATTTCAGAACCCTGCTGAAGCAGGGCGCCAGTCGTAAACCAAATGGAGTTGCCTATGGTGAACTGATTCTCCAGTTCGTCCGGCTCTTCGATACAGGGATACGGATTATCCCATTCGCTGGGCGACAGGCGACCCAATATGAATAAGCTCAAGGACACGCCCAAAAAGGATAATCCTAGGTACCACCAGACCTCCTGGGAAAACGGATCCATGAAGGTGAAGAGACCAGGTGTGGCCTTTTGGGGTTTCAAGTACAGAATTGCAATGCCTGGAATAACATAAATTGATACGTTAAAACTTGACAAATACGCAAAGGTATTCGACATGCCCAAGTTCATGAAGGGAATGGTGAAGTCAAGAGCCTCTTCTCGTTCCGAGGTGATGGTCAAATCCGTGATGGCCAAGTCAGCTCTCTGCGAGAATATTGTTTTCACGTATGGTTAAATAAATATATATCGTAAGTCTTACTCACTCCAAGCATAAGTTCCCTCAGCATGCCCGTAGATTCGTTACTGGTTTTATTATACGATCCGTAATCATTGCCGCCGTTAACGAAGGTAAAGTTAAAGCCCAGTTTGTCGGCCAGTTCTTTGATAAGATCCACCCCGTAGCCCTCATACTGGCTATTGCCCTCCAGGGTCTTGGAGTTCTCCACCAGTTGGGCATATGGTTTGTTCTGCAAATCGAAATGGATTAAATGGATTGAATGGAAAGTGTGGGTTGAAAGAGAGTCACCTACCGGCACCGAAAGTAATACGATGAAGGTCTTGTTGGCCAGTGAATTGTCTACACTATCAAACTGGGCGGTTGTTGGCGCCAGTCGCTGAGGTCTGTATTCCCTCTCCTCGTCCCAGGTACCAACTTTTACAATTCCAGAGGGCTGCAGCTCGATGACATCCAGATGGTATCCCTTGCGGACGTTTCCCTCGAAGTAGATCGGACCCGTTAGCAGGTTTTCCCTAAGACGCAGCTACAGTCATCGAAATGAAAAGAATTTTATATAAATAAATATATTTTGATATTCAATTGTTTGTACATCAATGTAATCTTTACTTAATAAGCTAAATTTTTTTAGTATTGGATTGGATAATTGAAATGAAACAGTTTTTAGTATTAATCTGATATTAGAAATATTTGATAACCTACCGTTCTCATGTAATTTTTAAATGAAGAGCCATCATCGCGGACACTTTCCGTTCTTTGTGAACAATTTTGGGGCATCGGTTTAAATGGAAGATTTCTCAAAGTGTGTGCAAACAACTGAACAGCATCGTAGGTTAAGGCCATTTCCACAGTGATTGGGCAGGATCCTTTAGGAAAACATAAATGGATATAGGTACATTAGGTTAATGCCCCGTTTAAGGCTTACCATTTCGGAACTCATCCTGGTCGGTGGGATATCCCAACTTCATGAGCAGCTCCTTGACGGCCATCTTCTCCGGGGAAAACAATCGCAGGCCAGTTATATTGGCCTCGCTGTACTTGTACTCCTCCAAGTCAAAGGAATGAAAGTCCAGGTTGCCGATAATGTAGTTGTAGTCTTCGTTGATGATGCCGACCTGCTGGGCCTGGTTTAAAAACTCCGGCATTGTCTCGCTGGAGCCGACAACCACAATTCGATTATCCATGGATTTCCGCACCCGCCGAAGCACCGGCTTGTAGTTGCCATTCAGCTCCATATCATAACGCAGCACAGTGACCACGGGTCCATTCGTCTTGAACAGCGTGGTCAACTCATTCAGAATGTTAAGGTAATCCGCTGCGGGCAATAAAGGAATTATTAAGGTACTCCATTCATTACGCGACAAAGGCATCTCACCCGACTCGTAGAGGAAAATGAAGCGATTCCAATTGAAGGCCGTGATGAGGCTGAAAAGGGCCTTGGCCAGGTCTACCGGATGTGGATGCAGGTTAAAGCCCTCAGTATACTCGCTCATGTAGGAGTAGATGTGCGGAATATCCATGGCATCGCAAATGGACATCATGTGGACGGCAGTGTGACGCGATGAGGGTCCAAACACACCCGCTATGCCAGTCTAAAAGATTTAGAGCATTATGTCTTTACTGTAGGGCTGTTTAATAATAATTGTTATTGAATACGAGTAGTCCAGATAAGTTTAGAAAATATTTGATGTAAATAATAGATTGGTAATTTGAAGGCAAAGAGTGAGATCATGAATCTGCCACACATTCAGTTTTCAGTTAATATGTCAAGGATGCTAAATTGAAATTTAATTTTTAGAAAACAGTAATATATTTTATATTTATTTCTTTAATTTTCAAGACTAAGGAAAACATTTTATGTTGACAAGAAGATTGTCTAATAGCTATAAAGCATTTGTTTATAAAATGTTAGCGGTATCGCCTACTAAATCTGTGAGAGTAAACACATGCTCATATCCATGCTAGATACTATAGACACATTTTCAAATCACCTAACAAATATAGATTTTTTAAAGCAATGATGTACACTAATATAATACGTTTTAAACTTATTTTTAAATAGGGTGCCTATTTGTTTACTTACACTTAGGGTCATCTAGAAACAAAACACAACGTTTTGGTATTAACGGCTTACCTCCAACATCCTGCACAATCCTGCGTAGCTCTGGTAGGCATTTCCGTAGTCCACCGCCTCCTTGAGGGACGTCAGCTGGGTGCCCACCTCCTGGTTGGCCACATCAATGGCGTGGTCGAAGACTATGTTCATTTGCTCCGTGTTTTGGTCGGTGAGCAGACCTGAAACCCAAAAATTCTCTAACATCCACTTCTGGCTATTTCTCTCATGCCGGTTTGTTTGTAAACAACAACTTGACCTAATCATCCCATTCAGTCGGAAAACCCAAACAAACAAACAAATACTAAAACCGTTTTTATGAGCTTTTAGCGCTGATGGAACGAACAGCTTGTTCTCTTTATGAGAAATTAAAAATAAGTCGCGCGTTGAATTCAGTTTGTTTGGAACTGCTCACAAAAAAAAGCTCACGCGACACCATTTTTTACTGCACTATTTCGGAAATATTCCTCGAAAATTCTTACCAATTGGGACAATTTCCGAACTCTGGAAGTTGTCGTACCCGCCAAAGTTTTCATACTGAGCGCTATTGGCAGTAATTTGAAGGCAAATTATGGACCAAAAAACTACAAAGGTGTCTCTAAACATTTTATTTATTTATTTGAAACATATATATAAATATATATGTATAATATTTAGACACAAGAAAAATATCTGCCGTCGGAACCGAACACTTCGAGTCAAAAGCCACAACTGACGGGTGCTTCCAAAAGGTCAATTTGGAAAACGTTATGAGTGAAATTTCTGAAAGCTTTTCCGAAACTTTGGAGAGAATATTGAGATCAACTAAGAGACGACTCAACATTAATCCTCAGCCGGCGAATGCTCCTCGGAGTCCGTTTCTAGGGACTCTATAGATTGAGACGAGTTCCTACTGCGGGAGTAAATCGACTGGGCGCTTTTCAGGGCTCTTTCATTTTCCGAGAAGTGGATGACAATTTTGAACTCCTCAGCCAGGGCATCGCAAAAGGGAACCTGCAAAGTTATACGTTTTCATAGCTCTAAATATCAGAGTTTGAGTATACTGTACCGCATAGAACCTGGCTTTCTTGAAAACAAAAAAGCACCAGCACAAAATAGAGATAACCATGGAAATGATGGTGCCAACGCACAAGACAAAGTAAATTCCACTAAGATTTGCCATTTTCAAATCGGAAGGACCACTGTCATCGTCTTTTGCCTGAAACAACAGACTTATAATGGGAAAATATGGTCAGCAAACGGGAAACATACATTGCAAACACCGGCTCCGACTTCGTTCCACCACTTGTTCTTCAATCTGGCTAGGACTCCCTGTTCCTGAAGTTCCAGCAGGGCTTTGTTGAACTTATCGCGATATGGCCAATCTGGGAAGACTCTATTATTACACCCGGCTTAATGGGTATTTGGAATACCTACTCTTCACCATGGCTATGCCGTATCCCTTCTGGTCCAGCGGTTCCCCAACTTTGGTTAGATTGCACTCCCTGACGATATTAAATTCAATGGAGGTTGACTCCATGAGGAAGGCGTACTCGTTGCCCGACTTCACCTTGTTCACGCCATCCTGGTTATTGTCCATTAGCATCTCGGGGTGCATCATCATGTACTCGTTCATTTTCTTGTAGATGGGATCTTCCGAAGTCTGTGGAGTGTAAAATGTAAATCAAAATATAAATCGAAATTATATGTAATAGGCAGTCAAACTTACAGTAAAGAAATTCCTGGTGGATCCTGAACGCTTTGCCCCATACTGAACGCCGTCTTTGTTTTCGGCCAAGTCTTGAACGCTGTTGATTGGACTCGTGGGATTCTCGATCGTCAGGAAAGCGGCCAAGTTGGCAGTGTAGGATGATACCATAATTAAAGTGAAGAACCACCATATTGCGGAAATTGTACGGGTGCTGAGAGCTCTAAAAAAAAAAAAATTATATGCGGAAGTTCTTTGATTTATCCATGAATAATTACTTGGGAGCAATTTCAGAGCCTTGCTGCAGTAAAGCTCCCGTGGTGAACCACAGGGAATTGTTGATGGAAAACTGCGTTTCCAGCTCTTCTGGCTCTTCGATACAGGGATACGGGTTATCCCACTCAATGGGCGATAGGCGACCTATGATGAAGAAGCAGAGCGACACTCCCACATAGGCTATACCCAAGTAAAGCCAGACTTCCGATGAAAAGGGGTCCATGAAAGAGAAAAGGGCGGGGGTCGCTTTCTGGGGCTTAACATATAAAATTGCAATGCCTGGTAGAGAAAGTACATCAGATTGCGAAATCACAAATCAATATTTGAGTTTACCCAGATTCATGAAGGGTATGGAAAAATCAATGACTTCTTCTCGCTCCGATGTTATCGTCAGATCCGTGATGGCCAAATCAGCTCGCTGTCATTAATCGACTATAAGTTTGATCTGAATTAATTTGGAGAATAACTTACTCCTTCTACAATTTCCTTAAGCATTCCCGTAGTCGTGTTAGTGGTTTTATTGAAGAAACCGTAGTCGTTGCCACCATCTTGGAAGATAAAGAAAAACCCAAGTTTCTCGGCCAACTCCTTGATCAGATCCACTCCATAGCCCTGGTACTGATCATTGCCTGTGAGTGTGTCGATACTCTCCACAATACTTGCATACGGTTGGGTCTGTAATATAATATTAGACGAAATCAAAACCTATATAGAGCAGTTAATTCAAGGATAGCTCACCGCAACGGATATGAGAACCGTAAAGGTTTTGTTGACCAGCCCGTCTCCATCATCAATGACATTGCTGTTTATGGGTTGAGGTGGTCGCTGGAACTCGAAGTCCTTTCCCTCCTCCCAAGTGCCAATCTTGACCAATCCACTCGACTGCAGCTCGACTACATCGAAGGTGAAGCCCTTGCGCACAATGCCCTCGAAGAATATGCGACCTGTGATGGTTTTCTCCTTGATATCCAGCTGTTTTATATTAACCGAGTTATTGGAAGTAAAAATAAGTGGTACAAGTCAACCAACCGATCTCATGTAGTTCCTGAAAGAGGAACCATCTGGTTGAACATTGTCGTGACGTTCGGAACAGTTGAGTGACTGAGGTTGATAGGGCATGCGCTTGGTTGTTTCCGCGATTACACGCACTGCATCATAAGTGAGAGCCATAGACATGGTGATGGATGAGGAACCTATATAAAGTAGATATTTAAATAAAGACCTAGTAATTTAAAATATGTTTTCCTACCAGTTTTTGTGGGCTCACTTTCCCCGTTCAGCTGTTCCAACCTTTCAACCAGATCTCTCACTTCCTCCTTATCCGGGGAAAACATCCTGAAGCCAGTGATGTTGGCCTCGCTGTATTTGTACTCCTCCAGCTCGAAAGTGTGCAGGTCCAAGTTGCCTACCAAGTAGGTGTAGTCCTCATTCATGATGCCCACTTGTTGGGCTTGACGCAGTAGCTCGGCCACTCCTTCCGTGGAGCCCACAACCACAATCCGACTATCTTCCGATTTCCTTATGCGTCTTAGAACCGACTTGTAGTTGCCATTCAGATTGAGATCGTAGCGCATTACTTTGATAACAGGTCCCTTGGGGCCATATAGCGTCATCAGGTGGTCCAAAATCTTCAGGTACTCAGCTTTAGAAAAAAACCCAGAGTCATTAAAGAACCATTTTGATTTAATTGAAGCACCAACCAGATTCATAGCAGAATATAAAGCGCGACCACTCAAACTGGTTGATAACGTCGTAGAGCGCATTGGCGATATCCTCCGAACTGGGAAACAGATTAAAGCCATCCGGATGGGCGCTCCACGATAGATGCGGGTATATAAAGGGTATGTCCTTCGAGTCGCAGGCATTCAGCAGATGGGAGGCTGTATGCTTGGCAGCTGGCCCAAAAACAGCACCCACTCCGCTCTAATAAAAATCCTTAGTCACTTATCCATTCCCGCAAAAGTGCAGAGTGCTCACCTGCATCAGCCGGCAAAGTTGGCCAAAGGCCTGGACGGAGTTGCCATAGGCACACTGCTCCGTTTCTCCGGAAAGAGGAACTCCCAACTCACTGTTCACCACCGAAATGGCGTGCTCGAAAGTCTGCCGGATTCTATCGCTGGCATCGTCAGTGATAAGGCCTGCATGTTTTTTTTTTGTTTGAGTCAAACGAGTTCCGGAGAGGAACACTCTGGGGCTTTTTTACTCACCAAGGCGAATGGATTGGCCACCGGATGAGCCGTAAGAGCTGGCTCCTCCGTAAAACTGTGCCTGCACTTTGTTGAGGCAAAGAAATGTAATCACCAACACCGAACAGAAATGCATTTCATTCAACTATTGGAGTTTCGATTTGGAAATTTTCATTTCCCTTCCGCTTTTCTGGTTTTCAACGATGGGTATATATAAATATATACGTATATTTTTGGATCACCCACACGCGCGATTTCTTTGATGTTCTTCAGCCGCCGAGCGCACGTTCCCAACTGAATGACCACTCATAATTTCTTTGAAAATTCCACTCAAAAGTTTTCCAAAATATTTACTTTCCGAACTTGAAAGCTGCCAGTGTTGAGCAATCACCCTGTATTAAAAGTCACCGCCTTTGATCATATACATTTAATTAGAATTATCACAAACATAAATTGCATCGTAAACTAAACTATTGCAAGTTACAAATATAAATAGTTAAGGGCTAACAAAAATATATAGATTTGAAGTGAATTTTTGGCACATAATCTTTGTAATGATGGGAGTGGATAAATCCCATTTCTTTGGGGATGACCCGCCGGCTGTTTCGTCAATTGAAACCTAAAACAGAGATGTAAATCTTAATCGAACATTGTAATGTTTATGGGCAGATAAGCTATATATGTAGTGTAGTATGCTGTGTAACTTCCAACCCCGGCAGAATTCCAAGTGGCACGCACCAATTGCAGTTTTATTGGAAAGACAATTGGAGAAGTTGCTCCCCGGGCAAGAAACTGAGCCAACTGCTGGGCATAAATCACCATTAATTAAGTGAGTGCGCCCCAATTGAAGTGCGATGTCGTTGTTGGCACAACAGCACTGGCAACGGGTAACGAGCCACAAGGAAGCTGCACCAGACACCACCACTTTCTCCACTAAGTGGCGCCCAAAGTGGAGCAATTAGAGCCTCGACAGGGAGGTGCAGCTGGGGTGGCCATCTGTCGAGCACTCACCAACTGGGTCGCCTTCGGTCCTTGGCTTGGAACTGTGTGGCATGCGTCACTAGTAATACTCTTAGGCTATAGCTCTGGATTAGCAGCTACCAAACGCTGCACTTCTTTGCGGGATTCATGGGAGATCCCAGCGGACAGCTGAACTCCCGCGCAAAGTCGTAGGAATTCGAGAGCGTTCCGATCACCCGGAAGCGACCCGGACTGTGGATGGCCGTGTTCAGCTTGTTCCGTATGGCCTCCGGCCGCATCGCTCCGCACCACACCTGCCCGAAGTTGAGGAAGAACAGCTGCGGCCCCGTCATATTCAGGCCCGGCAGGACCTCGTCCTGCACCTCGCCGGGGTGCTCCTTCATCCAGCGCTGGTAGGCGTGGAAGGCCTGCCGCAGGCCTCCGTTGTCCGCGATGTTCTCTCCTTAAATGGGAAACATAATGCAAAGAAAATATGAACATTTGTACTATCTTAGATCTCATTAATCATAATCCGAAGCAGTGGATTAGGAATTTTTTGTTTAACATTGAAGTATTACAAATTTAACGAATCATAAATCATATATACTTTATATACTTTTTTTTACCAACTATTTATTTCTATCAGTATTCGAGTTTTCAGACTGTGTGGTGCCCTCTACTTAAATTCGCTAAAGAAAACATTTGGTTCTACGTAGGGTGCCACATGAATAAAAATTAAGCCCATGCATCTCTTTTAAATGATCTACAATATGGTATTTACTTTATAAAGTCGCTATCCCTTCTCACTATTAGAAACTTCTGCATGTATGCAGTAATTCCCTTTGACTCTATTATTATCCGGTATAAATATAGAAATAATTTAAACCGACTTACCCTGTGTACTCTCTCCATTGAGAACGATTCCCACCTCCTCCACTGTGTAGTTGCTGTACTGAGCGATGATGCAGCGGGCTCTCTCGTCGAATCCCCGGATCGAGGAGTCCGTCCACCACTTGTGGATGTTGCCGTTCCGATCGAAGAGCCTTCCCTTGTCATCGAATCCGTGGGTCAGTTCGTGTCCAATGACCACGCCGATGCCCCCGAAGTTCAGCGACTTGGGAAAGTGCCGATGGTAGAAGGGAGGCTGCAGGATTCCGGCGGGGAACATGATCTGGTTCTTATTACGGCTGTAGTAGGCATTCACAATGGCCGGAGCCGTCTGCCAGTTGGTCTTGTTGACCCGCTCGTGCAACTTGGCCTGCTCCGTTTTGGCCGTGTGGAGCAGAACGTTCAGCGTGTTCTCAAAGTACTTTTCCGGATGGATTTCGATGCCCGCATACTTGCTGTTCAGCTCGCCCGGATTGAGGATGAAGTCCGGGTAGCCGATCTTCAAGGACATGGCGTTCACCTTCTCCTCGGCCAGTTGCTTGGTGGTGTCGTCCAGCCAGTCGGTGGTTTTCAGGATGTCCCGGAAGGCCTGCTGCAGATCGTGGGTCATCCGCAGCGTGTCCCGCTTGCTGTTGTTGTCGAAGTAGCGGCTCACGAACATCGAGCCCACCGCCATGCCCATGTTGGTGTTCACCTGGGCGATGCACACCTTCCACCGCTGCGGACTCTCCTCCCGGCCAAAAAGGGCGTGGTAGAAGTGCTGCTTGATGTCATCGAATCTGTCATCCACGTTGTTTATGCGATGCCGCACGAAGCGCCACATCATGTAGTTGGCCACCGTGCGGGAATCGGTTTCGTCCAGGAGGGTCACCAACTTGCTCATGTACTCCACCGCGTAGATGACCACCTCCTCGGAGCCAAGGACCTCGCGATCCTGCAGGCTCTGCAAGTAGGCGCGCCACTTGATCTCCGGCACCTCCGATTGCAGTTGGTCGAGGGTCATGCGTTTGTAGAGCTTGTGGTTACAGAGTTCAATGTTTATTTAATTAGAAAACAAATATTTTAAATGGTTTTTGTTAAGCTTCTTTGTAATCTACTTTATGTCCTTCTTTAATCAAAAGTTAAAATCCTTATGTTGTATTTCAGCTTTACAAGATTTACAATAAATACAATAAAAAAATTTAATAAATAACAAAATAAATGAATTCAAAATTTTCGATCCAGCAAATGCTACTTAATTTTTTTTTCAGCTTCCAAACTACGCATTTTATTCTTGCCTCTACTTTTTGTGTTTTTTTTTCTTATGAATGTGTTTTTATAAAAGAAGACTATTGTACTATACTATCTCTTATTTAAACCTGATTGCTTGTGGTTTTAAAATGGGAGCACATATTACAGAATTTGAGCTCACAAAATTAAAAATCTCTATCTGCTATGAACTATGTACTTTAGTTTTTTGAACCCTGACTTATATATATGACATTTTTTTTAACTAAAACGTTTTCTTAATGAAGATAATTACCCTTTTGTGTAAACCCTACACCGTCTCAATGCGAACCCCTTGCACAATTATTATTGACAAAGTAAACTGTTTAAATGAACCACTCACCTTGGTGACGTTGAGTCGCTGCTCCGCTGGCGCCGTAATCCCGGCCAGCAGCGTCTCGAAGAGCACCAGCTCGTTGGCCACCCGCTGGGCGTCCGACTTGGAGGCGCCCATCTTGTGCATCACCTCGGACATGTAGCGCTGGTAGGCTTGCAAGTACTTGGCGTTGCTCGGCTGGAGGAAGTACTCCCTGGTGGGAAGGCCCAGACCCGTCTGGTCGAACTGCACGATGTTCTCCTCGGAGTTCTTGATGTCCGCTCCCACCCACTGGACGATGAGGATGTCGTTGTTGTAGCGCCTTAATGTGGCGGCCAGCACCTGCCAATTGAAGTGGGAGTCGCTCCACTGGGGCTCCAGAACTGGCCAGCCGCCCAGTTCGCGGATGAGCTTGTGCAGGGGTTCCAATCCCCGTTTGGCCAGCACCTGGTTGTTCACACAGGAGCGGTAGAGATTCTTGGCTTTAAGCTGGGCGTCGTGTTGGGGTTTCAACAGGTCCATCGGAGCATGGAGCTGGTCCTCTGACTCCTGCTTCTCCTTGATCCGATCCTTTGGCGGAACAGCGGCGGGCGGACCAGCTTCCTCCTCTTTTGTTTTCTCACGCGGCGATTCAATGAGGCGTTTCCTCTTGGTTCCGTTGGAGAAGCGCTTGTAGCGCACCAAAACCCGATTGAGCAACTGCCTCTTGCTGACGATGTGCCGCTTGAGACGCTCCGCCGCCTGGTCCGCTTCCCCCTCCCCCTCGCCCTGTTCGTTCAGCTTGAAGAGGGTGTTCCTCACTGGGCTCTTCCTCGGCTCCGCAGCCGTTTGCACCGGAGCGTTCTTCTCCAGGAGATTCCGAAGAACCAAGTCCAGACTCTCGCGCAGCATTTCGAAGGTATCGAATCCGGCCTTGTCCTTGGGTATCGGATGCAGGCGCTCCCAGTTGCCGCAGGCGTACTTGTAGAAGTCCACGCAGGGATCCACCTTGTTGTCCATGTACCTTCGCATGGTCTTTGCCTGGGCCATGCGGATGCCCTCGCGAGTGCCCTCCTCGTTCCAGAAACTCTGCAGGGCGGCGGTGGCCTCGCTGATCTCCGAGCTGGCCTCCTCCTCCTGGCGCTCGGCCTCGCGGCGCTCCCGCGTCCTGATCCTCTCCAGCCAGTAGGGCGCTATCTCCTGGTAGCGCTTCTGCTGGCGCTGCTCGAGATCTGCGTCCAGCGGCTTGATGTCCAAATCGATGCCGCTGCCCAGGCATTCGCGTGGGATTCCCAGTGGCAGAAAGGAGGTGCGGGAGTCCTTCATTAGCGAGTTGCGCTCCTCCAGCTCTATGGCCTCACCATTCCCATAGCGATAAGGTTGGCAGCGCCGCGCTCTCTCCGCAGCCAGGAGTTCCAGTCGCGTCCTTTTGCTGGCCGGCAGGAGGAACTCATCGTTGATCAGCTCGTTGTAGGTGCTGCCCTCCGGCAGCAAAGACTCGTAGTCATCCACGTAGGGAGAGGCTTCATTCGCCGCGTTCTGCCGATCCCGCATCCGCTCCTCGTTCATCTGCAAAGCCGCCAGCATCCCGTCCAGCCGCATGATCAGGATGAGCACCAGGGTCAGCGGCAGCATCACCACTGGAAGAAGCAGAAGCAGTTTGCAGCAGGTGAGACCGGGACACCATTGCACCCGACCATTCCGCTGGTTGACACCCAAGCCGAGCTTCACACTCCGCGATTTGCAGGACGAAGGGGAACCAGGAGTGGAAGCAGAAGGAGAATGAGATGAAGAAGGAGCACCGTGCACCGAGGGCATCGCTAGCTTCAGCTGGCTATGGCGACTCATCCCACGAGCAGCCGTAATTGAGGAGCTCGCTGGCCTTTATTCTTTAATTAAACGCAATTTTTCGCGCAACGCAGTTTGGCGAACCGAACGGGACGTAATCTAAACCGAGAATGGAGAGCCGGAGAACCGAGAACCGGAGATCGGTGGCTGGAATTCGGAGGCTGGAGGCTGGAGACCGGAGACTACAGACGAGTCGCGATCGCATTGCCAACTAAAAGCGCCGCTTGGGGATGCGCAATCACGGCGCGCGACAAACAATTGAGCGGCGACAGCGGCAACTAGCGACATCGGCAGCAGCAACATCGGTCGGCGCAGCGGCAACTAGCAACTATCAACTGGCAACATGCAATCAATGGACTCCCGCCCAGCGGGGGTTGCTCTGGGGGTCAGGGGTGGATCTGCTTACAGCGATCTTACATTGTAAGCAATCTAAGGATTATCTAAGAACGAAAAACATCTTGGGGTTCCCAACAAATACCTGCACTGATTTGACCCATTAACCTCAATCGCTTCATTAATTCGCCTTTATATCTTCGTTAATCAACAGGAACGGCCACAAAGCAGATTGTTCAGATATTTGTGTCATTATCACTGGACTAGCAATAACAAACACGCCTCAGTAGAAATACGTGCACAATGTTTCCATTGTTTGTCACAACAAAAATTCTAAATTATATGTTTTCAACGATTTATGTGAAATCGAGTTCTTTTTCTTGTTCTTGTTTACACAATATGATTCAATCTATAAAAAGCATAATAACTAAAAAAATTAAATAAATCTTTTCTTTTGTTAAAAATAAACACAATAAACTGTGCCTTTAGGAAATCACATTCAAATGAAATCATTTAAAACTTGACTCTTTTTCGAATTCTGCTAATAAATATACTCGGATTTACATATTTTCTTTTCTTGATTACAAATACATACTATTATTTTGAACAACTGTAGAACCAGTTGTTAAAAAAATGTGGATTAATACCATTTATATAAAGAAATTATAAGTATTTATAAGTACTATTAGGTAGAAAGTTATTTTACGGAAAAAACAAATAACCGTTTAACATGTTAAATCAATTAAATCATTTAAGATTTTTTCCTGTGCACAGCAGCCACCCAAGCTCCTCCGCATTGACCTCTGTCCGAATAGCGTCTAAATTCAATCAATTTAATTTAATTTCACAAAACAATTGCACAGACCGGCGACGGACAGCTGGCCACGGGTTGCACACCCGAGGGAACTCAGTGGCTCGGAACTAAGCGTTCGGCTGGCGAAGAATACCAGATACAGATACAGAAGCTACAGATGAAGAATCCCCTAAGCAGATACTGCAGATGAGCTCCCTCCAAAATCGCCCTTTAAGAGGCTGTCAGCAGCCTCATAACTCAGCCGTTAAGCCTGACCATTCAAGTGTAATGGAGATGGCGTCATTGGGCGCCACTAACTACTCCAGTCACACGTGTTTTGGGGGCCCGTAATCCCCATCTATGTAAGTGCCGTGTAGTGTGCCACTATTTAAAGGGAATTAAAGCTCGTCGAGGCGTAACCGAAACCCAAATTGGCCCTTCTGAATGCGACGGGGCGCTGGCATTTGGTTCGGGTTAGTATTACAAGATTATGCGGGTAATTGGTGGCATGCGATGCCATCTAATGTGCCTAAAACCCCACCACCTGCGCGCCTGTAAACGTTCTAGCTTTGCATATGCACACAACAAAAAGAAATAGTAATACTCATTATTTTTATTACTAAACAAGAAACTAACGAAACACATATAAAGATTTGTACTTCAGAACTCAGCATTTTATGATAGAATTTATATTAATCTAGACAATCTGATAATATTGATTTGATTTTTGTTAAAATTCCAACCATTTATAATTTAAATAAGATCTTAAGTCCAGTATAGGTACATTTACTTTTAGGTACATTAAGTTTTTTATGCTTAAATGTTTTTAATGCAATGTGGTTATTTTTAAAAAGTTATCCATATTCGTTTCTTTTGCGACAAAATATTACGCCCTAATGTATGCGGCATTTTTGTATAATTCTGATTCGTTCTTCGTGAATTTCTCGTGCAAATGGTATATAATTTTTATAAAGTAGTTATAATAAGTTTTTTTGTGTGCATGCCCATTTGAGGGGATTTCGGGGGGGCTGGGAAGTAGGGAGAGATGGCTTTTGTTCACGTCATGTATGAAATTGAGTCTCTCATGAACACCAAGCACGCAGGTGTATCTGTGTGAGATGAGTGCGGCTGTGTGGGTGTGTGTATCTGTGTTTATGCTGCCGGGGGAAATGGCGATTGCTTCATATGCTAATTTTAGCCTTAAACCTTTTAATTAGCGACTATGACCGAGATTAGTCGCTGCGTCCATTTGTCAATCTCGAATGCAGTGGCACTCTAAATACTGTGCAACCGGCAACCTCCAACCTGCAACCTGCAACAGAGTGCTCGAAAGGGGAGATGGCCTGCAGCCCCTAGAGCAAATGTTATGCAATTTGCCAACGCTCCGATGGATTCTAATTTCAATTGGCTTTTGTGTTCACTTGATCTGCGGTTCAAGACCAACCCGTCGACGCATGACCCACTGAGCCAACATGCGACGATATACAAACACACATTCGATTGCGGCATCAGGTTTGCGAGAGGTAAACGAACGAATCGTGAATCAATCAATTGATGTAAATAAACCCACCGTCGGTCGGGGATCGAACACTGTCTATATAGTCGGCCGATTGCATTTGCTTGCGGTTCGGTTTCGGGGGTAATGGCGATTGAACTCGGGTTATCGACACCAGATTAATTAATCTAACTAACTTAATCATTAGATGATAATCGAAAGTCGGTAGAGCTTGAACTCATTCATTATTCCGCCCTAACTTGAATCAATCTACGCATTTGTGTAATGGAGAATTTGGTCAAGACTCTCCCTCGTTAGTAGATATATGTTTGTACATTGTCGTATTTAATAATAACAAACATTATTATTACACAAAATACTAATCGACAGACTGTTTTGTCACATTCAATTACCACAAAAATTTTACACAATTTACAAAATGACACTCTGTTGTAAACAACAATCTATTTAATTAAATCGAAAATGGGTCTGAAAGCTTTCATTTAATTTGAATCAAACAGAGATAAAATTATTGAACATTAAGTACACGCGGATTTTGTGTAATTCATTTAAAGTGCTAAAAAGGATTTTGGTTTTCCAGCATTATTTTACGAATACATCAAATAATAACATAAATGTACGTGTTTGAGCATTAGTAAAACAAACTCGAAACAAAAACATTGTTTTGCATACGTAAAACAAACAGGCTGTCATCCGGATAAACCTTATGCATTGACACAATCTTTAGGTGCCAACAAAATTTCGACAATTTTCAAGGGAAATAAAAGCTTTGAACTTCAACCGAAGTACGCTACGGATTTTGACACTTCAAGGCTAACCAAACGCAGGAGAAACGAGTTTCCACCTGGATTGCAACTCATCGCGATGCATGAAAGTGTGTTTGGCTTTTCTCTTGGGAAAACTGGTGGAAAACCAGCAAAAAATTTGAGAAGTGGCCAACTGTTGCATATGAAAAATTGGGTAGCCTGAATCCGAACTCAGAGTCCCCAAAGTAAGTCGTAAACCACACTCACACTTTATTGCTTCAACACTTCAGCACTCCAGATTCCTGGATCCGGGGAATTCTTTTAGGAACTTGAATTATTCAACGTATTTAGAGCGCTACCGCCGCGTTGCGAAGTCGTTCTAAAACTGAATTCGTATTTAAATTGTGGGACTGTTAAGCTGCTACCGGCGTGCTTGGTAGTGCTCCATCTGCTCATTATCGCTTAGTGTCTTGCCACTGAGGTGTCTGCTGTTTTTCCGGCTGCCAGATGGGTGATAGCTCTCGATCAATCGTGAATCAAACAGTCAGTCAATAATGCAAGTGATTCACGGCGCTCATCTGTCCTCAGGAGATCTGCTAAACCAGAATTTTTAAGCCGGTGACGTTTGCCGCAAAGCAGTCTACTAATACACTGAAAATTATATCAGTATACAAATTAAAATATATTTTTTGTTTACCCTTGGTACAAATTTTAGCCAGCTGTAGTGGAAACTACATGCAGCAATTCAATATCTTTAAAAGTACATAACTTGCTATAAATGTTTGACTGAAAATATAAATTGGAACCATTAATTTATTTATCATATATCATTATTCATTTATTGGTGCTTATTATTAGGGAACTTTAAAATCCATTTGCATGCAATCTTGATATGTGCAAAGGTTAAAAAAAGATGCAACCATTAGTGCAAGTTCTGAGCTTGACAAAAACTACACGTTCATTATGTTTCAGTAACAAATATTTTATCATGATTAAAAATCTTTTTTCAGTGTTGTTTATCAAGATAATAATAAAATAATCGCGTGTGCCTTGTAAATAATTCACACGTTTACAATACATATTCGTACACCTCCTCTGTCACTACAAAAATGCTAATTGAATTCATCGAACTCAATGTGCTATTGACAAATTCATCTGGCAGGCGAGCGGTTTTAATAATTTAAAGCCCGCTAAAAGATCATAAATCAATGGAGTTGGCTTTGTCTGTGTCCAAGCCCACAATCAATGATTTATCCACTCACGTTGTTTGTTGTCAGCTGACAAGAACATTTCAATTGCAGTTTGATTGGTGTAGACCACACCTGAACATGACTATTGTCAATCATGTTTATTTAGAGATGCCCCCTCCTAGGAATTCAGTTCGCCGAATAAAAAGATTTGCTTAATTCGAATGCCTTTTATGGGCTTATTTAATATTCAAGCACTTTGATTAATTAATTAGAGTGCAAATGAAAGGGCGTTGCTCTATTCACGTGTGAAAATTGTAGGGTCTATGTGTTATGTGCATTTAATGTATTTAAATTCTTTCAATGCTTTCAGTTCCTTTTGACACATTAAACATCATCGCACTTCGCATCGTGGGAAACGAGGTGGTGAACCAAATAGCCTTTTTAATTACATTAGCATCCGCACGGGTCAATTAATTTCGGGACCGCATATATAAGTATACTTTATGTGCACATCGAGTCCCAGTCACGTTTCCATTTCACTAATGCACTTCCACCAGCATTGCGGCCTCATTTATTAGTCTAATTATTTGTGAAACACAACCGTCAGCATCGACAGTGGCGAACGTTTTGAGTAAAACCGAAAGCC